AAAACTTAAATTATTATAGAAGAATTTCATTATAGAAAATCATTTATTATAAAAAGTTATACTATTTATCTTATTAAAACTTTTAATTAATTAATGTATTTTAAAAATATTGTACCCGCACAAGGTGCGGGACAACCACCTTGTATTTTTTATAAAATAAAAAGATATTATCTAATTAATTAACTAATTGACAAAAAAACTGTTATTAAAAAAAGGAAATTATGAAAATTTAAAAATAGAATTTTCATTAAGGGTATGTGGGTAATCAACCAGCTGAAATTGAATGTGGTGCCTCTAAACAAAATTTTCACTTCGCAAATAAATATCCTAACTATCATATTACCGCACCACTTTTCTGGAAGAAATCAAATAATTAGGTATTTTAAAAAAACTCTAGATTTTACAACCGACTTAGTCCTATTTAACAAGCAAAATAAACAGAATTTCGTTTCTTCTTTTTCGTGTTCTAAATTCTTCGATTCCATATTTCATCTTTTGTCATGTAGGTTTATAGTTATTGCTAGATCTTAGTTGTATTAGATCTAATGTTTAACTGATTATTCGTTATTTTCTGGAAATTTTATTCAAAGAATCGCATCTAACTTCTACTTCTTTTACCTTTATAACAGTAAATTCCAGGTTTGTTAGCTAATTGAGTCAAAGAAATCAACTATGGTACCAACTCAAAAAAAATGCATTGACAAAAATTAGTGGTATGTACATCTTTCGTTTTTATTTTCAACTTAAATCTTATGAAACCCTAATTTGAATAAACTTATCTAAAAAGATTTTGTAAAATGTGGGTTTAGGTGTGCGGATTGGGGGGGGAGGGGGTTGTTATTTGGTAGTGGTGTTACAATGTGGGGTTATTTAGGGGGTGGTGTTACACTGTGGGTTTGGGTTTAGGGTGTAGGGTTTATATTGATGGGGTAGGGTTTAGTTTTTGGTGTATTTTAAAAAAACTTGAATTATTACAGAAGAATTTCATAATAAAAAAATCATTTATTTGAAATTTATATCTACTTTCAAAATTACATTCACAAATAGAAAAAAAAACTAAAACAACTAAAGAAAATCCAGAATTGAAAGATAACAAAACTAATAAATTTTTAAAAGACCTCAACTATATAAAGATAGAATCTATTTCAAAAATATTGAAAATTTTAACTATCGAAATGAATTGGTAGGTGATATGCAAGACACAAACAAGACATAATAGATACATAAGTAAAAGAAAAGAAAACAGTGAAAAAGAAGATGAAAAATTTAGAAAAGAAAAAGAAAAGTCGAACATGAGGAAAAAGAAAGGAAAGAAGAAATAATGGAATGTGAAGAAAATTCCAAAACAAATGAAGAATATTACGTAGAAGAACAAGAAAGAGAAGATAAAAATAAGACACCTCAAGATTACAAAAATAAGAAGTTTGCGAAAACAAAAACGATGAATACAATAAAAAGTTGTACTACTTATATTATTTAAATCTTTAATTAATAATTGTATTTAAAAAATATTGTACCCGCACAAGGTGCGGGACAACCACCTTGTATCTTATTATTGGCAGGAATATAGATGAAACCTTGGTTTATAATACGTTGTTGCACGTTTGGTTCTGAAGGGATTTTTGATTTAGGGCAAGATCAAAAGGAAAGTTTTATGTAATGTTAACAACATGCTTAATTCAGGATTCATTTCAAAAAATTCCAAACACTACAAAACCATAGATATGTAGGGCAATTACAAAAATATGGCTCATCATAAGTAGCCTCAAGTAGAGAGACGAATACCTTTAGAAATTGTTTTTAGTCAGCTCGTGTTAGTGCAAAACCCTAACAGAATTGAAAAAAAAAAGCCACATGTACTCGCACATCATTCCTCTTTCCACCTTCCCAATGCTTGTCCAACGCGTACTCTGTCTCCTTGTTTGACACAGAATCTGTAATCTGAACAACTTCCTGAACCTTCCGGTGAGTTTGCCGTCGGTGCTTGGAAAACAAGCACCACCGTCGATCCCATGTTGAACACACCTACCTCCTTCCCTTTCTCTAGCTTAAAGCCATGGCCTTCTGGATCATACACACGCTCCTCCGGCGGCTCTGTAGGAAACAGCTTCTTCTTTGGCTTGTTTGTTCTTAGCTCAGGTTCAATGAAAAGCTGTCACAGAAAACATCAGCCACTTCCTTTAATGTCTAGGGCTTAAGGAACTTAAAATATTCAATCTACCTCAATGGATCCAATGTTGGTCGCACCAACAGCTGCAAGTGCCATAAAACCTTCTTTCCATACCCCTTCAAGCACAACCTGTTCTCAATTACAATTATATTAACTACTGAGATAAGAGAAAAAAAAAAAGGCATTGAATCACAAAATTTACCCTTTCATTTTCGACATAGAGATTCTTTATCGTTCTTGTAGCACGCTCGTTCACGGGAAACAACCGGCCTGAAAGTTGATTGGCTCCAAAGATTGTTACAAAAGACAAACCGCACATTGGCTGTATAGTTAAATGAGAGAATAGAGAGTAAACCCAACCTGCAAAGTGTCGACGAACCAATGCATTCCAGTCAACAGGAGAGTGTATCCGATGATAGTCTCCTGGTCTCAAGTATATCACACAATAATAGAGCCCCTTCACTGGACTGCAACCAAAACTTAAGATTACATAACTTGCAGTTTTCTTCAAAGTCACTTCTTAGAGGCTTAAAGGTTTGATTTTTTTACTAACCTAGCTGAGACGCTCTCGCGTAATTTCGGAGATGCCAGAGAGACTCTCAACCAAGACTTGTCGCCTTTAGCTCCAGCAGCTTCTTCTTCTTCAGACTCACCCTTACCTTCAGGTACCATGGGAAGCAGAGAGTTGGTTCCAAGAAGAGCCGGTACTGAGTAAGAATGTCCTTTGACTTGCTCGATCATCCCTCTATTTCCTTTCAACTCCCCAAACCTTACAACGGTGCCATCCACAGGACTAACCTGAGATCCTCGATACATTAGTTTGAACAACCAAGAAAGAAAGCGTGCATACAAGAAAGTCACAAACGTTCTTTTTGTTACCGGTTACCAGACAATGAGGATCGGGATCGATAGGTCTGCAACCTTCTTTCAAGCTTCGAACAAAGAAATCTCGTAGTGAAGCATATTCTTCCAGAGGCAGAGCTGCTTCTTCAAGATCTGATGTACACGCGATATAGATCAGTTTTGGAATCTTTTTCCTCTCCATGATTCCAGACGTCAAACTAACAACAGATGTGTATACAAGAAGAAAGAAATCATACTTGAATGGAAAGCTCGAGCCCAGGCTTTATAAACATACGGCCGCATCCACACCGGAATTTCCTGAGAAGAAGATGAGCTAGCAAGTGAGAATCACAATAAGCACAAGTGCTTCAACAAAGAAGAACTCACCAGACTCGTCAAGGAGCCCCATGCTCTAGAGATGGATCGCAGAGGTAGAATTCCAAGGAACGAGGCCTAGAAATATAACAACAGAAGAACACATCAAGATTTAGAAACTTAATCGGCATTGAGTCTAGAGGAGAGCAAAAAGCACAAAAAGGGGGGTTTTACTTTAACATCTTGGTGGAACTCAAGTTCGATTCCTCTTTCCCGTTTCTCTTCGATCTGTTCATCACAAACCCATGCTAAGCAGAAAGACATACAAAATCTATTGAGAAAACTTAAACTGATCTCTACAATGCGAGTGACATTACCTTCTTATCTTCATAGAGACGGCGAGCATGAAGAGCTCCAAGCATAAGGATCGTAGCCATTGTTGCTCCAGGCAAGAGAAAAGCATTGCCTACATTTACCGTTTCCAAGTAAAATCTATGTTAAATGGCAACAATGATTCAAGCTCAAAGCACGATAGGAACTTGACAGTGAGAGGCAAAATTTACGATTCTCAATTGTAATCTCAGAAATCTAACTACGTAGATAAGCTTCATTGCATATATATCTACCTTTGGAATCTCCGGTTCCACCTCCTCCGCCTCCACCGCTGCCGCCGGGAGAGGAAGCGCGAGCGACGAATTGATTCGAACGGATATTGTTGAGGAAAGAGTTGAAGGTTCGGCGTTGACTATGGTGGAAGCGGCGGAGATATGAATAGTGACTCAACATATAGACATTGTGAGAACATCGAGGTTTCATGGCGTTTTTCTCAGTTACAGAGATAAAATTCGCTTTTGCTCTGGAGAGCTTTAGGGTAAACAGAGACCGTTTGATTGGAGACGACAACTATAAAACGACAGCGTTTTCTTCTTCAGTCCCTATTGGGCCTTTTTAGCTCTTTTATAGCCCACCACCGTTCAGAGTTCGTCTTCACTCTCGATCACACTGACTTCACCGGAAAACCATCAACAAGCACGACTCATCGTCGTCGAATTCTACGCCCCCATGGTAATCTGAAACTTTACTTTGTTTCAATCTGAATTAAGAGATCTCTGTTGACATAGATCGTGATTCGTCAATCTGCTGGCTTCATTTCTGTTGTCAGACGTTTTCTAGGGTTTTCAATCGGTTTCCCTAATCGTGGATTCTGATTAATTTGGTGGATAAATTCAGGACAATGATGCTTTTGGTTTATTTTCGTCTGTAATTGATGCGTGAAAGCATATGATTTTGATAATCTTTGTTTCATTTGACATAAGCCCTTCTCTTCCATGGTTTTCACATTTCACTACTAGCGAGAATTGAAAGACGCTTCCAGAGAGATCGTCGTCTCCGTAAAACCCTAGAGAGTGAGTATCAGTCTCGTCTATTCTTCTTTTGCTTTCTGTCTGAGCTGTTCGTTTCCTTTGATTTTGATTTTAGGGAGTCGATTTGGTATTCTCATGTTTCATTCGCTGATCCGAAACTATATTCTGTTTGTTGATTTTCTGCTATATGATTCTCTTCTGCAAATAATTCGAATTTCGAGTTAAGATGTGTTAATGGATGTTTCATTTCAACGGTTCTGACTGCTGAGTGATGCGATTTATAGAGACAAAATCTAGAGGTTGTCTAAATGGAAGCTAGAGTAGGAGATGCGAAGAGGCTAGTGTTTGTGACGGTGGGAACAACGAGTTTCGATGCTCTCGTGAAGGCAGTGGTGAGTCAAAATGTTAAAAGCGAGTTGCAGAAGCGAGGATATACTCATCTTCTCATTCAAATGGGTCGTGGAATCTTTTTCCCAACCAAGGTTTCATCTTTATCTTCTCCACTCCACTTGACTTCACTTGTCTGCTTTAGATTGGCTTCTAGTATTGTGAAAAAATGGATTTTGATGAATCAGAGATAAGTTATCTTCTGTTTTAAGTAAAAATCTTTTCTCTCATTCTGATCAGCTAATTACTTTACCATGAATCTCTCAAATTAACAATAATAAGAGCAAAAAAGAGTTACAATCCTGCCTGTTTCATCTCATGTATCTTTGAAAATATAATTCATCTTCTCATGTGGTTTGTTTTTCTTCTTCTGTCATTACTGATTCAGTGTGATGGAGCAGATGGATCACTAGTTGTGGATCACTTCACATTTTCATCAAGTATAGCAGATTATATTCGATCTGCATCTCTTGTTATTAGTCACGCTGGTTAGTTTTTTTGTTTCTCTCGCGAAAGAAAACCAAGAGAATGATTATTCATCTGACTCTCTGTATAATTGCAGGATCTGGAAGCATTTCGAGACACTAAAGCTAGGGAAGCCATTGATTGTGGTAGTGAATGAAGATTTAATGGACAATCATCAGTGTGAATTAGCTGAGGAGCTGCAAGAGAGGAAGCATTTGTACTGCGCTCGTCCTCACACGCTTCATCAAGCCGTGACGAATATGGAGTTGGAGTCTCTGGTTCGATATCCTCCTGGAGATGGAACTCCTGTTGCGCGAATTATCGACAGGTTTCTTGGCTTCCCTGATGATTAAAAAACGAGTGTTTTGTCGTCCAATTTTCAACTGAAAATGTACTAACTGGTGCTCTTGCCATTGGACCATTGTTTCATAGATTCATATAGTAACTAGTATAATTGTTTTTGCTCTTACTTTGAATATGATATTCGTCAACTTTACTTCAAGGCTCAATGAATCTACAAGTCAACCTTTGGCTTTTTCAATTTAAAAAGAAAAAAAAAATCAGACTGAGATTGTTGTACTGATGAAACAGCGGAACAAACTTTCTTCAAATTAATCTATGAAGAATAATTTTGGTTTGTGTTTGGGAAAACAGAGATTCGATTCTCTATTCCTGAAAATTGCTTGAAATTAGCCATTTGAAAATGTATAAATGCTATACAAATCTATAAGAGTTAAGATATAGCTCTGCAACATGATTGATCTCTGTCTGAATTCTGAAATCATCTTTCTACAATTTACTTATTATGTAATGAAGAACAGAACACTCATAATCAGCAAAAGAGACTTCTTCCTATATTCTTTTCCAGTTCAGTAGCTCAAGACAAAAACGGCCTCTCTTGGACACAACAACTTCATCCATATTGGTTTCATTTAGATATGTTTCTTCTCCAGATACAGATACCGCTTTCTCGAGGTTATTCTCCTGTAATCCCTGCAATCTATAATCATTAACTTAATCACCTGACAGCAATCTAGCTTTCTTTTGGCTACACCATTAGTGACAAAGAATTTGAACGAAGCGGTGGTGTTGCAACATCTATTGAGATCATGGCTTTTCTTAGCATGGAAACAGTTGTTGTAACTGATGAACACATGATCAGAGCTAAGTTTTCTTGGTTAGATGATCCACATTTCTCTTTCCATCCCCCAAGGTTACAAGTAAAGCTGATGCAATCACCGTCTTCGTTTCTGAACTTGCACTTGCATATTACCGAGAACCGGTTGGTTTTATCTTCAAAGTAAAGTCCAGGGAGGATCCTAATCTCTGATGGCGGAACCATAATCACAAATCGTTTCCTGGAAAACTTACACCAGATAAAGGTTCCAAAACTAGTCCCTGAAATGATAAAAACATTTAAGCATGAGATGTGAATGAAGAGAGTAAACAGATATATTGGAGAGACTATGGTTTCGCTGAAGAGATCCAAACTTGTGCAGCATTCAAGATTCAATCTCTCGAGTTTACGAGCTTCTAACACGCTAGATAGATTCAGCGACTCCTTTGAATAACTGAGATCGACTAATTTAATTACCATACAGACTACATAACGCTATATATGATGAAATACCTTCCCATCTTCCCAGAGCCGTGCCTACCGTTATATGGAAAAGGCATTGGCCTACGGCCTTAAAATTTAGAAAAAAACCATTGAAGCATAATGGTGCTATTATTTTATCAAATATATGCTTATAAGTTTCGTTAGAGTATAAATATGCTATTTTCTTCTATTTTACTTCTCTGGTTTTATTTAGTTACTAGGTGGTTCGCCCGCGCGCCTGCGCGGGCAACAGATGTTTTAGAATTCCAAATCCTTTCAATTAATATTAGATGAATGCATTTTCTTTTTAATTACTTTTCATATTTTTGTAATGTGTTTATTTTCCAAAGAATTAGTAGTTTAACATTTTGTTAATTTGATATGAACTTATAAACTATGAAAGATCTAGAAAAAAAAATTAGTTAAATTTTGTAATGGTCATTTTCTTTTCCCTCTTATTCTTTTTCACTGATCCCATCTTTTATTTTTTCTTCCATTTATTTATTCGTTGTCATCATCTTTTTTTTCCCCGCTTTTTTTTTTCAAATTTTTGTTCTTCAATCATTTCTTGTGTCTTCATATCCTCCAACTTACTATTCTTCTTTTTCTTTCTATTTTTTTATATTCTTTTTACGTTTTTTCTTCTTCCTCATTCCCCTCACTCTCTATCTTTATCATCTTCGTCTTTTCTGACATCATCTTATTCTAGTTTTTATTTATTTCTTATTTGTCTTTTTTTTCTCTTCACATTACATTTTTCTTCTTTGTTTTTTCTCTTCGAGTTTTCTTCTTCTTCTCGAAGTTTCTCATCTAGATGAAGACGGTTGAAAAGTTCTTTTCCACCGTTTTCTTTTATTCTACTCGTGTTTTTATTTCTTCTTGTCTACGTCTTATATTTCACTTATCAATTCATTTAGTAGTTTAGATTTTCAAGGATTCGTAAAATAATTTTTATCTTTATATAGTCGAGATCTTTTTAAAATCTAATTAATTTGTGTTGTTATTTTTTGATTATGGTTATGCTTTCATTGTTTTATTTTTATTTTTCTATTTGTCAGTATATTTTAAATGGTAGATATAAATTTATAATCAGTGATTTTTAATTTTGACATACTTTTATAAAATTCAAATTTTTAAAAATGCACCAAAAACTAAACCCTACACCCATCTATACAAACCCTAAACCCAAACTCCACATTATAAACCCCTCCTCCCCCTAATTAAAGAACCTACACCCTAAACCCAAAATCCACATTATAACTCCCCCTCAACTTCACACTGAATCTCATATTACAAATTAGTTTTAGATTTTCTTTTATTTTTATTTTATTATAAAAGTTTTTTTAATGGTTGTTTTCTTCTCCTTTTTATTCTCTCTAGTTATTCTATCTTCTACTTTTTTCTTCCATTTTTTATTCATTGTCATCATCTTATTTTTTCTGCTTCTTCTTCATCTTCCAATTTTGTTCTTCAATCGGTTCTTATGTCTTTATATCCTCCAACTCATATTCTTCTTTTCTTTCTAATTTTCTTTACATTCTATTTCCGATTTTTCTTTTCCCTCATTCCCCCTCTCTCTCTCTATCTTTATCATCTTTGTCTACTCTGACATCATCTTATTATAGTTTTTATTTATCTCTTCTTTGTCCTTTTTTTCTTCACATTCCATTTTTTCTTTTTCCTCGTGTTAAATTTTTCTTCTTCCTCTCAAAATTTCCTATCTTGTTTTTCATCGTCTTCTTTTCTCTTACTCTTGTTTTTCATTCTTGTCTACGTTTTGTATTTCACTTATCAATTCATTTGATAGTTTAGATTTTGTTAATTCATGAATTCAATTAATATTAGATTAACGTTTTCTTTTTAATTACTTTTCATATTTTTGTAATGTGTTTATTTTCCATGGAAATAATAGCTTACATTTTGTTAATTTGATAAGAACTTATAAATTGTGAAAGCATAAAAAATTAGTTAAATTTTGTAATGGATTTTTTCTTCTCCCTCTTATTCTTTTTTACTGATCCCATATTTTCTTTTTTTTCTTCTATTTATTCATTCATTGTCATCATCTTTTTTTTCCCGTTTCTTCTTTTTCAAACTTTTCGTTCTTCAATCCTTTCTTGTGTCTTCATATCCTCCAACTTACTATTCTTCTTTTTCTTTCTAATTTTCTTTACATTCTTTTTACGTTTTTTCTTCTTCCTCATTCCCCTCACTCTCAAGCTTTATCATCTTCGTCTTCTAAGACATCATATTATTCTAGTTTTTATTTATCTCTTCTTTGTCTTTTTTTCTCTTTACATTCCATTTTTTCTACTTTGATTTATTTTTCCTCATATTCGAGTTTTCTTTTTTTTCCTCTACATATTTTCCATCTTCTTTTCCATTGACTTCTTTTCTATTACTCGTATTTTTATTAGTTTTTGTACGTCTTGTATTCCACCTATCAATTCATCTGATACTTTAGATTTTCAAAGATTTATGATGTATTTTTTTTTTAATCTTTATATAGTTGAGATCTTTTGAAAATCTTTGTTATCTTTCGATTCTGGATTTGCTTTAATTGTTATAGTTTTTTTTCTATTTGTGAATGTAATTTTGAAAGGTAGATATAAAGTTATAATCAATGATTTATAATTGTGATTTTTATAATAATTCAAATTTTTAAAAATGCACCAAAACTAAACCCTACACCCATCAATATAAACCCTAAACCCAAACTCCACATTATAAACCCCTCCTCCCCCAAAATTAAAGAACCTACACCCTAAACCCACAAATCCACATTATAACTCCCCCTCAACTTCACACCTGAACCTCATATTACAAATTAGTTTTAGATTTGCTTTTATTTTTATTTCATTTATAAAAGTTTTTTTTAATTGTTGTTTTCTCCTCTCTTTTATTCTTCTCTAGTGATCCTATCTTCTTCTTTTTTCTTTCATTTTTTTATAGATTGTCATCATCTTCTTTTTTCTGCTTCTTCTTCATCTTTCAATTTTTGTTCTTCAATCGGTTCTTGTCCCTTTATATCCTCCAACTCACTATTCTTCTTTTACGTTCTAATTTTCTTTACATTTTATTTCCGATTTTTCTTTTCCCTCATTCCCCCTCTCTCTCTCTATCTTTATCATCTTTGTCTACTCTGACATCATCTTATTATAGTTTTTATTTATCTCTTCTTTGTCCTTTTTTTCTTCACATTCCATTTTTTTTTTCCTCGTGTTAAATTTTTCTTCTTCCTCTCAAAGTTTCCTATCTTGTTTTCCATCGTCTTCTTTTCTCTTACTCTTGTTTTTCGTTCTTGTCTACGTTTTGTATTTCACTTATCAATTCATTCTATGATTTAGATTTTGTTAATTCATGAATTCAATTAATATTAGATTAACACATTTTCTTTTTAATTATTTTTCATATTTTTGTAATGTGTTTATTTTCCATGGAAGTAATAGCTTAACATTTTGTTCATTTGATAAGAACTTATAAATTGTGAAAGCACAAAAAATAGTTAAATTTGGTAATGGTTGGTTTCTTCTACCTCTTATTATTTTTCATTGATCACATCTTTTCTTTTTTCTTCCGTTTATTTATTCGTTGTCATCATTTTTTTTTCCCGCTTCTTCTTTTTCAAATTTTCGTTCTTCAATCCTTTCTTGTGTCTTCGTATCCTCCAATTTACTATTCTTCTTTTTCTTTCTAATTTTCTTTACATTCTTTTTACGTTTTTTCTTCTTCATCATTCACCTCACTCTCTATCTTTATCATCTTCGTCTACTGAGACATCACATTATTTTTTTCCTGCTTCTTCTTTTTCAATTTTTCCTTCTTATTTCAACTTGTACTTCATCATTTTGTAGTATCAGTATTTTTCTTTTTTGCAACATCTTATTTATCAGTTTTGTCTTCCTCTTTATTTTAATTTTTATTTTTTTCTCGTCTTCTCATATTTCTTCTTCTTCATCTCCTCATACCTTTTTGCTATTTTTTTTTTCAGTTGTAGTTGTTTCATCTTCTTTATTTTATATGTGTAACATCTTAATTTTCTGGTTTTCTTTGTCTTTATCTTCTCGTACTTTACTTTCGTCGTATTTATCTTCCGATTTTCTTCTTTCAAATTTTCCTTCTTATTCTCTGCTATTATGTTATTCTTCTTCTTCATTATATATGTCTTGTTATCTAAATGCATCTTTTCAGGTATTATACTTTGCTTCTTTTTCACGATGTTTTTCGTCTTCCTGGTAATATATTTCAGAGGAGATGAATAGAGGAGATAATCTTTCAAGTAAAGATTGCAAACTCTTTGTTCACCCATCCTTTGAAATGGAGCTTGTCCAAGTCAGAAATCTTAGAGAGGAAGTGTTAAGGATAAATTCTATAATCAACAAACTTGAAAGGCTTTTGGAAACAGATTCGTAGATTCTTGATGAGGCATTCGAGAATTGACAGTTTCATTTTATTTCCCCATTAAAGAGACTGTCAGGAATCACGAAAGTATTTGACCATGACTCTCATTTGCGAAGGGTTCACTTACTCTTGTTGCCGCCACCATTTTAACATTGGAATGATCTGTGCATTCCTATATGTGAATATTTGGACTCTACAATGTATAATTTCAATCGGCAATGTTGATGTATTCAAATATTCTTCCATAATAATTGGTTTTGTATTTACTTTTATTTTTATTTAATCTTAAATGTAGTATTATTTTTTTATAATCGGTAATGCAGTGTATTCAATTTTTTAAAAATGCACCAAAACCTAAACCTTACACCCATCAATATAAATTGTACATCATAACCCCATTTTATCTTGTTCTTTTTTTACTTTGTCTATACTTCTTTTCTATTTTTTCCTTCAATTTCTACCATCTTTTTATTCGTTTTCTTTTTTTTTTATTTACAATTTGTTTTTCAATTAGCTTTGTGTTCTTATTCTTCATTTTTTTTTTATCTTAGATTTTGTTTCTTGGGGATCATTAACCATAATTAGAGACATAATGGATCTTGACATATACCACCACTAATCATTAACCATAAGTAGAGAGGATTTCTATTTAGAGTCCCTCAAACTCTGCCACTACAACCCACTCTATGCATACTCCTTCATCTAGTCTTGTAGTTGCCGATTCCAAGAAAGCCTTAACTGTTTCTAGTTTTTTTTTATTACCTTCTTTCTTTCCTCAGTGGCTGCTTTGATTTCTTGGCTTCACAGCTCCAGTTCGCCACCCCACAACATTCTCCGGCTGGAATCCCTCTAACTCCGACCCAGTGGGATGGCCTTACATCAGGTGTTCCTCCTCATACAAACTTATTACAATGACCAGTGTCGTCTCTGTTCAGATGGCTTTACCTTTCCCTTTTAACATCTCTTCGTTTAGCTCACTTTAGAAACTCGTTATCTCCAACACCACCCGAACTATCTCTTCCGATATCGAAGATTGCCCTGAACTTAGATTTATAGATTTAAGCTCAAACAGATTCATTGGTGAAATACCTTTGACTGTAGGGAAGCTCAAGAGCAATGTTAGTGTATTCAAAATTTGAAAAATGCATGAAAAACTAAACCCTACATCTAACAGTATAAAGCCTATACCTTAAACCCTAACCCAACATTAACTCCCCCCTCTAAACCATACATCCTAACCCACATTATCCTCCCCCCCCCTTCCTAAACCGTACATCCTAACCCCACCTTACAAAATGATTCAAGAATTTCTTAAAAGAAGTAGTTGTTTTGTGGTTCTTTCTCTTATCTCTTTGTTCATTGGTATTTAGTGGATCTCCCGTTCTCTAGATTTGCTTTGAGTAAGTTACCCAATGGTTGCTAAACATGGCATATGAAGCACCTACATTATTGTTATAGTTTCTTGATTTCGTGTGTATTATCTCCTACAAAAAAATTATGTTGAACCTCTTTGTAATGATATATAACTTACATTAACCTAAAATCTTCAGTGCGGTTTAATATGAGTTATAAATTTCTAATTAGAGTAAAACCAAGCTTCTTTAATACAGTCGAAGACTTTTCGACATCTATTTGGTCCACAATCTCCTGTTGCAAAGTAGTAATTTACATGTTATTTTACTTCTTGCACCAAAACATTATCTTCATACTATGCAAGTTTTTGGGTGGGGCTCATTCTAGAGCTAACATATATGCCTTTTTTTCAAACGGCAATTCAGAAATAGTGTTGAGAGAATTATTTTTTCCAAACCATATATTCGTTATACCATTAACTTAGCTTAGAAGTATCATAATGCTATTCTTTAAGGATTTCCATTATGCCCCAAACTTAGCTTACACTAAGACTCCTTACTTGTTGCTTGTAGGCCTCGGACTTTTAACTTTTAACCGATACCCAAAAATCTGAATTGTGCCAACTCTAAATTTCTATATCCGATTGGTTTCGGGTATAAATCAAATCTCCCATTGGATAAAATATTTTAATACTCATGGATATCAAATAATACCCGAACGGAATCGATACTTGATCTGAAGTATGAGTATTGTGAATTATTTTTGATATTATATGAATTAATTTTTCGGTTTTCCAGATTTTCTTTGGGATTTCGGATACATTTCCAGTATTTATATTTATTCTTTTGTAAAACAAAATTGGGTTAATGGATATTTTTCGGGTTTTTGGGTATTTTTCAGAGATTTTGGGTATATTTTTGGATTTTCGGGTGATAATAATCAGGATATCAAAACCTGAATCATAATAGGAAAATATCGAGTATAATTTGGTTTTTTAGACTTGGACCCGATATACCCAAACCCTAATAAAGATTTGTTTCGACTCACACCGGCTCTCTAACTTAAGAGATATATAACCGCGAGACCATCTTAGTTTGAATTACAATTAAGTCCCCACTTTCACGTCCATCAATTCACATGTTAGTAAAACGTTCATCAAATAATAGTATATGCTAAGAGGTTGCCTTTGGTTGCTCCAATGGAGAATTTGATCTCTTCACTTGATGAATACAAAAATATTTTTCTCATCAGTCGATTGGTATGAAGATAAACACTGTTAAGAAGTGGTTACAGGGAAAACTAAAAATTATTGAATATTGAATTAAAATAATGTCTCTATAAGTAAAGTATGGAACCATTAGAGCCATGAACTTTGACTTGCGCTTTGGCTTAATCACTAACGTTAATGATTCTATCAAGATGCATATATAATTAACAGTACAGTAAACATTCAAATAGCAATATGCATACAACTTTAGTAAAAGAAGATTCAGTGATTCACCACAAACCAAGATCAAAATAAGGCGATCGAACCTTCTCTGATTGCCCATATGACGTTTAACCGGTGCATTTTTTTTTTTTCTTCTAACCTTTGTTTTGACAATAACAATGTGGCATGCACTTGCATCAACATAATTGTATTATAATGCACATGAATTATTCATGAGCTGCAAACTTTTATTCTTAAATAATCATGGGGACATTCCTCCAGTTGCATAAGCTGAACATCCTGGTAGAACATTAATCTTCACGTATAGTAAAAAAAAAATAGGAAAAGAAAAGAGAAACACATAAATTGTTGGGTAAAACGAAAAAGAAAAAAACTTAATTCAGAATATGAGTTTTGAAACCAAAGAGCAGCCCAAGTAGTTCTGTTTGTTATGGCTCTATGCCATCATTATCCACTAATTTAGTTGTTTGATACAAAGTTATAACGACCGCAATTTATGTTAATCAAGTATTTAGCTAGCTTTGGTTTCCAGCTTTTTCATACCTTTTTACCTTTGTTGACTTCATGACCTTTCAGAAATTTCATGATGGGCTCAAAGTTGTCCAGCAACGACCACACAGTATACATTTATATCCACTTCGTCTGTGTTTCAGTTTTCATCATTAACAAATCACTCTCTCAATATGATGTCTCTGTTTCCTAAGTTTTGTTGCTTGCAAGCATATGAATGAAGAAGAAAAAAACGTTGGCTCACTTGAAAGCCTCAGCGATATTGGCAAGCTAACTCTTGAAAAATGCAACTCTATGCTTATCGTCAAGCATGTGATGGATAGAGGCAGATCCGTCTTCTTCATCATCCATACCTGCAGTGTTGGATGAAGAGATCTAAACAACAATTAGCGAAAGAATTGTACGCAGAAGCCAATCCAGTTCAATACCTTGTGTGTTATGTGAAAAGTAAACCTAAAAACTTGAGTAAGAAATTTTACCAACAACTAATTCAGCAAAGGAAGATTACTTCATAGGTCGTGTTCTTTTCAAAGTCGCTGCACCTGCGACTGCGACTGAGAAAATAGTCATGATTACGAAATTATTCGGTGGTGGCGGAGGCATGTTGCGTCATGAGCGGAGTCGACCCAATCGCAAGACATGAGAACTGTCGCCCATAAATTCCAGCGACTAAAAAAGACGTCATGGACAGCACCCGCGTTCATCTCGAGCGACAGTTCAGTGTTATTTTCTTTCCCTCATAGGCTATTTTCTCCATCGCATGTCGTAGCCGCTGGCGACTTTGAAAAGAACACGACCATAGTCAAATCCCAAAGCAGCTTAACATCTAAACCATTATATTAACTCAAAACTCTTAAAATCAGGAGCTGTAGCCTTTTATTCTTATTCTTTACTTGTGCAGTAAGCTTTTTCTTCCTATATCAAGGGTAAGGCTTTACTTCAACCACTTTACGTCTAGCAGAAAATTGAATTCTGAGCTACGATATACAGAGAGGGATTTACCGAGTCTATGGTCTACGATGATTTATATGTTATGATTTCCAAGATAATTAACACGAACAATCTACCTAAAACATAAAGATGAAGAACACGAAGACCCGACTTTGAGATGGACAACTTCTAGCTTTGTATATAGATTTCTAAAATCTAGGGTTTTCTCTTTTTATAAAAATAATTATAATTTTATTCTTTTTATAAGATAAAAATAATGTATTTTTTCCATAATACAAAAACGAATAATTAATAAAAAAAAGGAAATTTTGAAGATATCGTCAAGATTTTCTATATTTTTTTGGCCTTATACAATAAAACAATAATTAATAAAAAAAGAATTATGAAGATTTAATAATAGATTTTCATTAAGGGTAGCTGGGTAATCAACCAGCTGAGAGTTAACGTGGTGGCTGGAAACGAAATTTTCACTTCGCAAATAATATATTAGATTAATCATTTCTATTACTATATTATCTATCGGAGAAAAGTTTGTTACAGAAGTTGATTTTGAATGGTTAGTTAGTGATTTGTGGGAAAGAAAATAACAAGAATCAAGTTATGAACTGTTTTTCTTTTCTGTGGACAAGTTATGAACCGTTTTGTATGCTTATTTATTTATTTTCTTTTATCATATGACAATGTTTATTATAGTAGAAAGTTTTTCTTTTGATTTCAGTTACCATAGACATCTTTATTTTTCATAAGTCCATTTTTTTTTGGTGGCCTACGGCATCAATTGACCTTGGCACGGCTGATCTTCCTAGAGTTGCACAATGTTGCTATAACGCAGATTAAGATCACAATTTCCATCAATGAAGCACTCTGAACAAGCCTTTTTCTGACGTTGTATATGATGTTGAAAGCACCTCATAATTTACAATTCTTAAAAAAGGTTCATTTGATTCAGTGGAACATATAAGTTGTCAATCAGATTGCATTGCTATCTTTTTCTTTTTTGTTCAAACTCTTAATTCCATTAATTAAGCTTGGGTGTTACATAACTTAGAGGGAATTAACCATCCTCTTTGAAAACTACCATAACAAGTAAAAACATTAAAGCATAAGATAGATAGATCTTCATATGACAGCAGATTATAAGCAAAGCTCAAATGCGTCGGAAGAGAAATCACGGCCAAACCGGATTGCATTGCTATCTGAATGCAGATTTTAACATGTAATTTTATAAACCAGTTTTGCGGAATTTACAATTCTAGTTTAAACTCTTGAAACGATGTGCCCGATTGCAGAATTTAATATGATATAAAACGACGACTTGCGAATCAAGACAAAAGCAAGCAAATATAAAGTCTTGATTCAAACCATAACTGGAACGCAATTGTATAGTCATCCAAAATTTGCAAAAAACATAAAAGTCGAGCAAACGACATGGAGGAAACAACCTAGAAGAAGATGATGATAATGATAATAGCAGGAGTGGTGCAATCAACGGTAACGACGAAGAGACAGAGTGTTGTTGCTCTTCCAGGTAGCCCTGCGGGAAGGTCTGTTCTTGTGGTTGCGGTGACCCTTTCCACGAAGTCCACGATTCTTCTTTCCCTCCGAGGTGAGTCCTCTGAGCTCTCTGTGCTTGTGCACTGGTTGCAGATCCAGTTGATTCTCGGGTCATTACGCACAGCATTGTGTGCTGGGTCCACCAAGATGATCTCGTAGTACTTGTAGGTCGAATCCTATTTCAAAACTTGCCAAAGTTAGAACCTTTTTAACCAGAACCGCATAGCAATGAAAAAGATGAACCAAGACATAGACCAAGTGAGAGAGAGTGTAGTCATACCTCGTTGAGCCAGTAGGAGTTGACAACTCTGAGACCGCCCAATTTCCTTCCGGCACGCTCCTCAGCGACAGAGCGCTTGCTCCTCTGGAACTTGAGTTGGGTGACTCCCTGGTTTGTGGGCTTTCCATACACAATACCCTTTGACACTGGCCTCTTGCGTCCACCACGTTCACACGGACACGGTACACCACAAAGCCCTGCAAATTATATTCAACACCCAAATCTTTATTAGCAACAGCGTTTGAGGCTAGGGGAAGAGCTAAATTTCAGAGTCAAGCGAGTGAATTAGAATCAGACAAGCAAATGATTCCGCAGATTAAAGAGTTTGAGAGAAAACAAAAAAGAAGAGCAAAGTCAAGAAGCAGTGTTACTACGACAAGGTTAGTTTCATGGATTATCTCAAGATTTCTGAGCTTCTGACTGAAATTTTTTGCTTTCTCTGCAGATTAAGGAACTTGAATATGAGGCAAAAGGAGCAAGAACAGAATATACGACAAATGGCAGCAACTAGAGAGTTCCCTGAAGTGAAAACTTGCTACAAAGAAGATAACTTTAGCAATGAGAATAACAGCACGTAATCCAACAAAATAACAAGCAATGATTCAACATTTCTCTACTAACTTTGGCTAAGATTTGTATATACAAAAGGTCTCAGAATCTACACTTCAAGAGCTCATTTTATACCATCAGATATCAAGTTAGCAACGCTAAGATTCAGGTTATATAGATTCATATGGAACGCTGAACAGACGAGAAATTAGGGTATAATCAATCACCTGCTTGGCCTTGTAGCCCAAACGACGAGCCTTATCGGGACGAGTAGGCCTGACGAGACGGACAATCGAAGGCTGCTGCCTGTACTCCCAACATCTCACCCTCTGCAGGAACCTCATCACATCGGACTACTTCTTCCTCCATAGCTCAGATACGTACTTGTAAGCACCTACGGTTCACCCAAATCCATCCAAATCGTTAAGGTAAGCAGTAGAAATAGCTCGCAATAAACAGATCCCCCACACATTTGAACAGAAAAAGAGATGCTATATCGATATAAGAAACGACGAGACGAAGGAGATGAGATAAATCGATTTACCCATTTTCGAAGAGCCGCACACCACCGGCGCAGTGAAGGGTTTGTCGCTGAATTTAATGTAAAGAGCTATGGTTTTTTAATCCAGTGGAGCTTTATATTAATAGAAATTGGGCTAAGTTATTGAATCAATTAAAGCCCATTTGTCGTGTCAGTGTTAAAATATAATTCATCTTCTCATGTCGTTTGTTTTTCTGTCATTACTGATTCACTGTGATGGAGCAGATGGATCATTAGTAGTGGATCACTTCACATTTTCCTCAAGTATAGCAGATTACATTCGATCTGCATCTCTTGTTATTAGTCACGCTGGTGAGTTTTTTTGTTTCTCTTGTCTCGCAGTATAAAAACCAGAGAATGATTATTCATCTGACTCTCTGTATAATTGCAGGATCTGGAAGCATTCTAAAGACACTAAAGCTAGGGAAGCCATTGATTGTGGTAGTGAACGAAGATTTAATGGACAATCATCAGTGTGAATTAGCTGAGGAGCTACAAGAGAGGAAGCATTTGTACTGCGCTCGTCCTCGCTCGTCCTCACACGCTTCATCAAGCCGTGACGAATATGGAGTTGGAGTCTCTGGTTCGATATACTCCGGGAGATGGAACTCCTGTTGCCCGGATTATCGACAGGTTTCTTGGTTTCCCTGATGATTAAAAGACGAGTGTTTTGTGGTCCAGTTTTCAACTAAAAATGTACCAACTGGTGCTCTAGCCATTGGAACATTGTTTCATAGATTCATATAGTAATAGTAGAATGATTTGTGCTCTTACTTTGAATATGATATTCGTCAACTTTGCTTCAAGGCTCAATGAATTTACAAGTCAACCTTTGGCTTTTACAATTAACAACACCGCTGAAAAAATAAATCAGACTTTGAGATTGTTGTACTAATGAAACAGCGGAACAAACTTTCTTCAAATTCATCTATGATGAATGAATTTTGGTTTGTGTTTGGGAAAACAGAGATTCAATTCTCTATTCTTGAAAATTGCTTAAAATTAGCCATTTGAAAATGTATAAATGCTATACAAATCTATAAGAGTTAAGATATAGCTCCAACATGATCGATCTCTGTCTGAATTTGGAAATCATCTTTCTACAATTACCTATTCCAGATATTAGACTTTGCTGGCTCCATGGAACGAAGAACAAAACACTCATAATCAGAAAAAAAGAGACTTCTTCCTATATTCTTTTCCTGTTCAGAAGCTCTTCTTGTAGACAGAAACGGCCTCTCTTGGACACAACAGCTTCATCCATATCGGTTTCATTTAGATATGTTTCTTCTCCAGATACAGATACCGCTTTCTCGAGGTTATTCTCCTGTAATCCCCGCAATCTATAATCATTCACTTAACCACCTGACAGCAATCTAGCTTTCTTTTGGCTACACCATTAGTGACAAATAATTTGAACGAAGCGGTGGTGTTGCAACATCTATTGAGATCATGGTTTTTCTTAGCTTGGAAATAGTTGTTTTCACTGATGAACACATGATCAAGAGCTAAGTTTTCTTGGTTAGATTATCCACATTGCTCTTTCCATCCCCCAAGGTTACAAGTAAAGCTGATGCAATCACCGTCCTTGTTTTTTGAACTTGCACTTGCATATTACTGTGAACAAGTTAGACTACGTAACCGGGTCGTGAGGAGAAGAAAGAAGACCGGTTTAGTAGTTACAAATGAAGCTGAGACTCTAATTGAGCCATAGGCTTAGAAGAAAAGGGAATTATCTTTTAAATACTTGTACAATTACTTTACAAACATTATCCAGAGATTAATTGTAACAAACTAGAGAGAGAGTGATCGGGAGCTTGTTCCCGGATCAAGAGAGAGAGTGACGTTGATCGGTGATCGGAGTATCTTCTCGCCGTTTCAATGTTGTAATCCTTGTTATCGGAATAATACTAGTATTCTCTTAACAGAACAGGTTGGTTTTATCTCCATGAAAATGTCTTTGGAGTAATAACAGAGTAAACAGAGATGTTGGACAGACCTTATGATTACGCTGAAGAGATCCATTCCCCAGTATTTGACTCTCGAGCTGAGTATGAGCCACAATCTTTTCTTGCCATCTCTTTTTAGCTTGAAGCAATCTGTGAATACAAAACTAGAACGAATCACTTTTCAGCTACCACAAGAAGCGCCATGGGTTTTGATGCTGTTTCGAGTGAGACACAGCCATGAGCATCCAAATACTGTAGATTTGATGGAAGCAGTGCAAGAAAAAACGAGTTTTTGACAATGCTTTAAATAAAGAGACTTGATGAAGTGTTTCTTGATGCTTCTAGGTCGATTCTCTAAATTGTTTCTGCTCAAACATAAAGACTGCAGAAAGGATAAGCAGCTAAAGTTGTCTGGCAACTTGTACAGAATACAATCTGTGAGATACATGTCTTACAGTCGAGAGCAACCTGAGAAAGGCAGCAATTCCAAACACGTGAGATCTTGGACTTTAGATCCACCAAATGAAAACAGCTTGAGCTTACTCATAAACATTCTTCTGGGAGTTTGTTTAATGGCAGTATCATCCATGAGCAGAATCTCAAAGCTTACCAGAGAAAATCAGTTCTTTCAGAGATTTCAGCTTGCAAAAGTTGTTTCGAATACTCATCAACTTGCAACACTTCTTTAGATTTAGCATAGAGAGTTTCCGGAGACTATGGATTCAGGAACTCTTTTCATTGTGCCATCCAAATATAGAGATTCTATGTTTTCTGAAATAGTTGGCAATTTATTCAGTTTTGAACAGCCACTGAGGATAATAACACTACAACAAATATGGGTATTAATAGCAGACGGAAAACGCTATCATATGGGTTAGATAGCGTGTGTATAAACGCTATCATCTCCGACGCTATAATAGAGTACCCACCTATGATAGCGTTTCTGGTCAGGTGCTATCGTAGCCCTAGTCTACAATAGCGGTTTACAAATGTCGTTGTTTCATTGAACACGGCACAAATATGACGTTATGATTTACAGTTTTACAGCGCTCTATTATTGTTATAGTAATATTTGTAGTAGCGACTGTTTGTGCTATATCAATAATTCTTGTAGCTTATTTTGTGCGCTATTTCAAACTCTTCTATGGCGTTACATTCCCGCTGTTATTATATGCACTGTAGCTCATACATTATGCTACAAGTTAGCCAAACAATGGCTGCATAATTTTGCCATATAAAAAGTATATATTCGTGAATATGGTTTTAGAAGTCGACATGCTGAAACTGAAATAGAAACTGAGAAGATGATTGATTCAAAATTTATTGCATAGTAGAAAAATTCAGAGTCAAAGAAACATTACAACATAGTACTTAAGTTTAATCTTGCAAAGGGAACATATTTGTACTGTCTTAATTCCCAAACAAAGCAAATCCCAACAGATATGAGCTTCCTCGGTGCCATCTCTTCCTTCAAAACAGATTAAAAGACAATGCGACTGAGATATTTCAACAAATAAGAACATGAAGAACCAGAAACACCGAGATAATTCAAACTAACTGATATGAGCCTGTTCCCGTGAACGAGCTCTAGTAATGGGACCTAGGTAAGCAATGGTTAACACAAGAGAATTGAAGACACAAGCTTCCTCTTAACCCTAAGCTCTTTTCGAGATTAAGGTCAATGTTTGGAAGATGATTCATTCATAACAATGAGAGAGACTTATATAGCTCTCGTACAATGCTCCTAAGCTATTAAGAAAAGGAAAAGCTTTGCTTAAAGGAAAACACTAAAACCGACTCTTAAATGAGAAAAGGAAAACTTCTAAATCTTAATGTTTCTGTCTACGGTACATGATACCATAGCGTATATCACTAACAAGGGATTTAGCTCTTCTGAGATTTTAGATATACAAAAATATGATTAGAACAATACTTTACAAGACTCTGTTTAACAAGGTGAGATCAAGTTGTGTATAAGAGTAAAAACGATACTATCATCCTGCAGTAAAACTCGAGTCAATTTCTCTACTTACTTTCATCATCAACAGATTTATTTCATCTACTTAGGAATATACATCCTCAGTTACTGAAAAAATGAGGAATATATATCACACGCAACCAACCAACGAAATGTCAAGGAATCCAGATAATATATGTCATACGAATCTTATTTGTTCTTTGGCATAAATTTCAGAGCTACTTATATATGACAAGATGCTTAGTCTAACCTAGAACTTGATACATCACTCAATCTACTTTGCAATGGAACTAACCTCAAACACAAAAAAGTACCTATTTTAGATGAATCATATCTGAAGATTGGGGAAGAGATCCAGGTTTTGAGCTAACAGTCTGGCTAATAGAATGGGGCTGAGAAGACTCTTTCTCATCATCAGATATCTGAAGATTTAGTAGACCATTAAGCATGATAGACAACTAATAAAAGACTTTAGTAGAGAGAAACCAAATCCAAATCACATACTTTAGGATTCTCGTTGGTATAAAAAGAGTTAAAATTGTCCTTAGCTCCTTCTTCCTCCATCATCAAATCAACACTACCCGATGAGGATTTTCAAATCAAACAAAAAGGATTTCAATTCAAGAAAGTAGAAAAAGCTTACATGTAGCTCCTTACGCTGTTGGAATTGCATATAAGTATCTTAAATCTGCACAAAAGTATAAGAATTACATATGGTTCTAACAAATCAAATAGCCCAAAACCTGCAATTGTGAATCAATGGTGAGATATTACTACCTTAATCATTCTCTTGTTCATAGGCTTATGAATTAATATCTATTTGAGACAACCTTCTCTGGAGATTTGATATCCATTCAGTTCGCTTTGTCCTCTCCAACAGAAACTCCATTTACTTTCATGTTCTTTTACTGAAGAAATCAATGTGAACTATTCAAAGAATTAACTGTGAAAACCAATTCGTAAGCTCCGGTGGCTCTGTAAAACAAATTCAAGGTTAGATTTTACCGACAATAGAGTACTCGAAAGTCCTGAAAAAGCATCAAACACAACCCAAATCTCAGACATCAATCAAAAATCTAGCCATTAAAATAATACTCTTCAGCATCAGAAAACTGGAAGCAGAAATTAACTCAGTTCTAGCAAATAGAATGCCTAAACCCCCAAACGTTTTGAAGCTAAGAGAATCGTCATACGAACTCGGCAGAACAATAAGCTTTGTAGAATTTCTACCCCAAAAAAAAAAATCAAATAAACAAGAACATAGATTGATTCCAATCTGAGAAAAGAAGAGTAGAAACTCACAGAATTCGAAGAAGGAATAGCAAGATTGTTTGACTCAGGGGATAACTGATTGAAACAGAGAGAAAAACCCCAAATCGAACGGAACCCTAAATCACCCATAGCGACTTTCCTAGTTTCGGCGACATATTCCGCTAGCTTCATCTGCCTCTCTCCGAGTTGCCCTCTTTCTTCCTGCAATCAACACGACAACACAATTACACGGAACAAGGAAAGGAAGAAGAGTTGAAATCAGATCTGCGAGATCGGAGATTGATGAAAAGAGAATTACTATTTTTTGACGAGAGGAATTTTTTTTTTATTGTAGAGGAGAAGAAGATTTGTTTTCTTCTTTTAAAGCGATTATGTTTTGTGAAATAAAAAGAAGGTACCCAGAAAACGAAGTGTCTCTTTTTTTTTAATTCAATTGTTTTTTAATGCTATCAATAGTATTTCTTGCTCCAATGACCGCCAAAACATGTTTTTTTTCTAAGTGTTCACGTCCATGAGATAAAAAGGGCGGATTAGCGAATTTTGTTTTGCCGCTTTTTATTTTTTAGGCATAGCATTCGGAAAATGCTATAAAAAGGTGAATTTAAACCCAATTTCACTTTTAATAGCAGTTACGAAAATTATGCTATCGTCGTCTGCTATCAATACCTATATTTGTTGTTGTGTAAGAAACTTCAGAGACTTTAAGTTGATTGATTTTTTTTGGAAGACTCTTGAGATTTATGCAATCTTTGAGATTCAGTGAAACAACAGTCCATCTGCTGGATCAATGAACACTTGGTTAAACTTGTGCAGCATTCAAGATTCAATCTCTCGAGTTGAGCTTCTAGCAAGCCAGATAGATTCAACGACTCTTTTGAATAACTGAGATCGACCCACCTTAACTCTCCTGTATTCTGCAGTAAATGGATCAATAATTTAATTTTTACATAGAGACTATCTAACGCTAAAAATATATGATGAAATGGGAGACATTCAGCTAAAGTTGTACCTTCTCATTTTCCCAGAGTTGCACAATGTTGCTATAACGCAGCTTAAGATCACAATTTCAACGAAGTAAAGCACTTCTCTCTCAACAAAAGCTTTTTCTGACGTTTTATATGATGTTGAAGCACCTCAAAATTTTGGAAAATATATGTTGTCAATCAGATTACAATTTGCATTCTTATCCGAATACAGAAATTAACGTGTAAATTTGTATAACAGTTTGGCGGAATTTACAATTCTAATGCAAACTTCTTGAAACGAGTTATGAGCTTAACACAAAAATGTTACCAATCATGACTTTTTGTTTTACTTTTTGCATTAGAGTTTGAGTTAAAATGTGTTATTGTTGAGTTATAATTTGAAGTAAGTCATTTGTATAATAGTAAACACAACTCAAATTCCTACCACATGGGAAATGGGGTGTATTAGGATGTGTTAGAGTTTGAGTTAGCAATTTTTTTTTTTACTTTTTTAATGACCAACGTTTTTAACTGTTTTTATTTTTATTTTTACATTTTATTTTATTTTATTATTTAAAATAATTTTTAATAATATATACTACAATTTATACCGCATAAAAGTTACCAGTCAGCTATTTTGACAAAAATGTTAATTCATTTTCTACAACAAATTCACGACATAAATCTACCGTTTATACCATATGATTTTTACTGCAACTTACATCGAATTATACCACTTCTTCTAACTCAAGTGTAATACTATATGTCACCAATCGAAGTGCCTGATTGAAGAATTTAACATGATATAAAGTTAAGGATGAAAATTATCATATCTATCAAAACGACTTGCGAATCAAGACAAAAGCAAGCAAATATAAAGTCTTGATTCAAACCATAACTGGAATGCAATTGTATAGTCATCCAAAATTTCGCAAAAACATAAAAGTCGAACAAACGACATGGAGGAAAAAATCCTAGAAGAAGAAGATGATGAAAATAGCAAGAGTGGGGCAATCAACGGTAATGACGAAGAGACAGAGTGTTGTTCTTCTTCCATGTTGCTCTGCGGGAAGGTCTGTTCTTGTGGTTGCGGTGACCCTTTCCGCGAAGACCTCGATTCTTCTTTCCCTCGGAGGTGAGTCCTCTGAGCTCTCTGTGCTTGTGCACTGGGTTGCAGATCCAGTTGATTCTCGGGTCATTACGCACAGCATTGTGTGCTGGGTCCACCAAGATGATCTCGTAGTACTTGTAAGTCGAATCCTATTTCAAAACTCGCCAAGTTAGCATCTTTTTAACAAGAACCGCATAGCAATGGAAGAGCTACAAACAGAGAGAATGTTAATACCTCGTTGAGCCAGTAGGAGTTGACAACTCTGAGACCGCCCAATTTTCTTCCGGCACGCTCCTCAGCGACAGAGCGCTTGCTCCTCTGGAACTTGAGTTGGGTGACTCCCTGGTTTGTGGGCTTTCCATACACAATACCCTTTGACACTGGCCTCTTGCGTCCACCACGTCTCACACGGACACGGTACACCACAAAGCCCTGCAAAATTCATTCAACACCTAATCTGTATTAGCAACAGAGTTCGAGGCTAGAGCACGAGGGAAGTTTCATGTTAACTAGAGCTAGATTTTCAGAGTCCAGCGAGTGGATTAGAATCAGACCAGCAATGATTCCAACAGTTTTAAGATGAAACAAAAACACAAGCAAAGCCCAAGAAGCAGTTTTACGACGAAAGATGATTAGTTTCATGGATTTCGGAGCTTCTGATTTAACAGATGTATGCCGAAAATATGTTAGTCTGTGATATATCATGGTTTTTATGGGTTTTTGCCATGATATAAGTCTTGTATATAGAGTCTTTTTAGTGTTTTTGGAGTCTTTTTGAGTCTATTCAGGTCAAGCATGTTTTGGAGCACAATTGGAGATTTTGGAGCTATTTGGAGCATATTTGGGGAAGCTGCTGGAAAACAAGACAAACAGACGAACACAGAGTCTTGCGTCGACCGACGCAATTCATTTGTGTCGGTCGACGCAAGTTTTCCCAGAAGTGCAGCGATTAATTTTAAAGACTTTTGAAGATCTGCACTTTGCCCAGAAGTTCCACTTATTTACAAGAAGGCCCAATTCGTGTTTTTAGGTTTAAAAGCCATTGTTAGGCTATTTTTATCATTACATCTTATTTTCTATTGAGACTTGGAGAGATTTGTTCAGAGCTTTTGGGGAGACATTCTGCTACTCTGTCCGTTTGAGAGAAGAATTCGAACCCCTGTTATTTTATATTTCTCTTTAATGCAATTTATTCAGTTTATGATGTTGTTTTCAATCACCATGTCTGAGTAATTCCTAGTTAGGTTTTGGGTTTTTCAAAGGTTGATGATGGATTGTTAGAATTGAATAATTGTTAGGATAATCTTATAGTTCTTCATCTGGATTGTGCTTAATCATTGATTTCTAGAATTGATCAGCTGGAATTCATACCCTAGGTTGATTAGTAGATGCGAAAGTGTTATTAATTCCTGAACTATCTTAGATGAGCAAAATACCTATCTGCAAAGGAATTTGGTTTAGGGATTTTGTGAACAATTGAACCTGAATTAATGCTTGTCTGATTTATTGAATTTGCAAAGAAATTTGGAATTCTAGTTTGACATAGATAATCTCTGCAACGAAAGTTGATTGGTTTTACATTAGTGATTTGAGTTCGAGAACGGTGCTTAATTAATATCCTGATACTTTAATTCTGCAATTCTGATTCAACCTGCGAATTTCCCAAGGCCTAGCGTTTGTCTCTCTTGAATTTAACTTCGTTAATCACTCATCTGCTACTTGTTTTCTTTTATTTGGTTTTCATTACTATCATATCTCTTAGCCTGATTTGAATCTGGAAATTCGTTGTGCAACTGATAGACGTTTGGATTCGATAACCCTATTTACTACGACTGAATTGCTGTGCACTTGCAGTTATTTTTAGGAGAACTTTACACCTATCAAGTTTTTGGCGCCGTTGCCGGGGATGTAGCGGAAGCTAAGATAAACACAGCTCAACCTATGATTCAAAGGAATCAATCGGGACCTGCCAGCTCAACCAAGGGATTTGATATAATCCTCACTTAGGACCTGCTTCTTGAACTCGTTGAGATCTCTCTAGATCTACCGAAAACAAGGTTTAGAGAATACTCTTCTCTCAAAGCATAAGCTCTTTTATTAATAATCAACAACTTCATAATACAATAGGCCTAAACGGCTACTTATAAGAAAACCATAAAACCCTAAAACACCAATAATAATTAATTTAAATAATAAAATAAATAATCTAAATATTTAGAATATTTCCAATTATCTTCCTACATCACTTCTTAGCGGAAGCTAAGATAAACACAGCTCAAGTTTTTGGCGCCGTTGCCAATCGTCTTGTTGTTGCCATCAGATTTCTAGTTTAGAGTCTTGTCTAAGTGTTTCTTTTTGTTTTGTTACTCACGCTCTACATTCTTTCTTTTTGGTGTTTCAGGTGTATGCCTACTCGCAGAACCAGAAGCAACAAGCTGGAAGAGCTACTCAATCTCACCAATCAAGAGCTAGCACACTTAGAGCGTACAAACAGAAAAGCCAAGAAGCCAGTCGAGATGGTCAATCACATAGTCTTGATTCGCGGTGAAGATGGGCTTCTGTTTGATCCAGAAGGGAACCGGTACAATGAGCAAGGGCAGAAACTTGATGCTGCTGGGAATGTGATCCCAGAACCAGCTGTAGATCCAGCTGCTCCTAACCCACCCCCCCTCAACCAAGCTGCTCCTATTCAGCCTGCAGCTTTTCAGCCGGCACTACCCAATGAAGGAGCAGGAGAGCAGCGCACACTAGGCGACCACAACAGGCCTGATTTTTTCTATGCGAATCGCTCTGCAATCCGACCTCCTCCGTTCCAGAGGAATAACTTTGAGCTGAAACCTTCTTACTACACTCTTGTGGGTCTGCAACCCTTTCATCCCACTGAGAAACCAATGGATCACATTGAGAACTTCGAAGACCTGGCCAGCAGCATCAAAGCCGATGGCGTGAGCATGGACTACCTTCTCTGCAAGCTTTTCCCTTACTCTCTTGCTGGGGATGCAGCTTACTGGCTAAAGCAGTTGCAACCAGGATCTTTGACAAACTGGGAGGATACTAAGAAAGCCTTTCTGAACAATTTCTATGATGATGCAATGTCTGAGGAGGCAAGGAACAACATCTCTACATTTCGTCAAGGACCTACTGAAGCGTTCAAGGCGGCTTGGGTTCGATTCAGGTCATATCAGAGAGACTGTCCACACCATGGTTTTAGTGAGATTCAGCTGCTGGGCACCTTCTTTAGAGGCATTGATTGGCAGTATCAGATGGCTCTCGATGCTGCGAGCAATGGGAATTTCAACACCAGGTATCCACATCAGGCTTACCAACTTATTGAGAACTTGGCATCTAGCAATAGTACCAAGAATGCTGATTTAGAGAGGAAGAAGCTAGGTGGAAACATGGATAGAAGTCAAATTGCTGAAGTTAAGGCTAAGTTAGACTTCTGTGCATAGCCTTCTTGTTGGCAAGAAATCAGTTCAGTTTGCTAATGAAGTGGAGACATTTGAGCCACCAGAAGAAGATAGAGAGGAAGAAGATGTCAACTTTGTTAGTGGAATTGGTTTTCAAGGTCAGAGGTTTGGTAATCAGCAAGGTAACAGGGGCTACAATGGAGGTGGACAGAGAAGTTCTTATGCAGGAAATCAGAACTCTTCAGGATACACAAAGAGTCAATATCAGAAGCCTGACTACCTGAAGTCTGATTATCAAAAGCCTTCTTCAAGCAATAGCTACACAAGGACCTACGGTTCTTCTTCTTATCAATCTCCTCCTGCGCAAGCACCAGACAGCGAGGTGAAGTCTATGCTTGAACAGCTCCTTGAGGGTCAGCAGAAGATGACAATGAACTTTTATGGGAAGATGGATGCCATGTACCAAGACTTGCATGGAAAAATTGATGCTTTGAACATCCATGTCAAGAAGTTGGATACTCAAGTGGCTCAAACTGCTGATTCTGTCAAGAGGCAAGAAGGATACCTCCCTGGAAGAACTGATGCTAATCCTAAGCATAACTGTAGTGCTATCAGTCTGAGAAGTGGAAAAGTGCTGCAACCTGTGCTGAAAAAGGGTCCAAATCTTGAGCAAATCGTGGAATTGCAGGAAATTGAAGATGAAGATTTCGCTGCTACAGATCTTGCGTCGGGCGACGCTGAGGAGTTGCGTCGGTCGACGCAGAATTTGCAAGTGTCGACCGATACAGAGGAGCTGTGTCGGGCGACACAGGAGGATGCGTCGACGTTCGACGGGCGCTTGTCGACCGAGGGGGTCGACACAAACACTGAAGGGTCGACACCCAGAACATGCGTCGACCGACACACCACTTGCGTCGGTCGATGCAAGTCCCAGACGGCGACAAAACGTTCTGAAAATGCTGAGAAGGTGCAGGAAAGTGTGTATAAGCCTAAGGTACCCTTTCCTAAGCCTCCTAAGAAGTCTAAACAGGAGCTGGAGGATGCTAAGTGCAAGGCTATCATGGATAAGCTTGTGATTGAGATTCCTTTGATTGATGCTATTAGAATGACTCCTGTGATAAGAAGATATGTGAAGAGGATGGTCACCAAGAATTTGAGTCTTGAGCAAGGAGTAATGATGATCTCTGAACAAGTCAGTGATGTGATTCAGAACAGGATTCCAGAGAAGCTTTCAGACCCTGGGAGTTTTGTGTTGGATTGTACTATCTTTTCTGACAGGTTCAAGAGATGTTTGTGTGATCTTGGTTCCAGTGTGAATTTGATGCCTCATTCAGTTGCTCTCAGCTTGGGGATGACTGATTTTAAACCAACTCATATATCTCTTATCCTAGCTGATCGGTCTGTGAGGATTCCAGAAGGTATTATAGAGGATGTTCCAATCAAGGTAGGAGACTGCATGATTCCCACAGATTTTGTTGTTTTGGAGTATGGAGAGGAACCCAAAGACCCTCTCATCCTTGGAAGACCATTTTTAGCTACTGCTGGTGCCATCATTGATGTGAGGAAAGGGAGCATTGCTCTTAATGTGGGTGATTTGGTCATGACCTTTGACATGGATAGGTTGATGACAAGACCCTTGATTGATGGCCAGACATTCTATGTTGATGTTCTCACTGATTTTGCTGAAGAAGTCTTCAAGGAGATGCACCCTGCAGACCCTTTAGAGAGAGCATTGACTACCTCTACCAAAGAAGCAGAGTACTTGGACGACACAGCTGCTGGATATGTCAAGATGCTGGACACTTGTGCTCATGTGATGGGATTGGTTGCTCAAGAGGAGTTGGTTGTGACTGCTACACAAGCGAAGCTTGGCGATTGGAGCGAGGAGAAAGCTCCCAAAATTGAACTCAAGCAACTTCCTGCAGGATTAAGGTATGCATTTCTTGGACCTAATTCAACTTATCCTGTTATTGTTAATGCTTCTTTAAACAACGCAGAGCTCACGTTACTGCTAAGCAAGCTGCGCACCTTTCGCAAAGCTCTTGGCTATTCTCTTGATGATATTGCAGGTATTTCTCCAGATTTGTGCATGCATAGGATTCACCTTGAGGAGGATACCAAAGCAACCATTGAGCATCAGAGAAGGCTGAATCCGAATCTGAAAGAGGTTGTCAAGAAGGAGATTATGAAGCTTCTAGAGGCTGGGATCATCTATCCCATTTCAGACAGTGCTTGGGCCAATCCAGTGCATGTGGTTCCTAAGAAAGGAGGAGTCACAGTGGTGAAGAATGAGAAGAATGAGCTGATTCCTTCAAGGACTGTGACTAGACACAGGATGTGTATTAACTATAGAAAGCTGAATGCTGCGACAAGGAAAGATCACTTCCATTGCCCTTTATTGATCAGATGCTGGAAAGGTTAGCAAATCACCCCTATTATTGCTTCCTTGATGGGTAGCAGATTCCTATCCATCCATATGATCAGGAGAAGACGACTTTCACTTGTCCCTATGGCACTTTTGCATATCGCAGAATGCCTTTTGGTCTTTGCAATGCTCCTGCTACATTTCAGAGATGCATGATGTCTATCTTCACAGACATGATTGAGCAGTTTATGGAGGTCTTTATGGATGACTTTTCTGTCTATGGGTCTTCCTTTAAAGATTGTCTAGATAACTTGTGCAAAGTGCTTGCTAGATGTGAAGAGAAGCATTTGGTTCTTAATTGGGAGAAGTGCCACTTTATGGTCAGAGATGGCATTGTACTTGGGCACAGAGTTTCAAGAGCTGGTATCGAGGTTGATCGCGCAAAGATTGAAGTTATGACTAGTTTGCAGCCACCTGATTCAGTGAAGTCTGTGAGAAGTTTTCTGGGACATGCTGGCTTTTACAGGAGATTCATCAAGGATTTCAGCAAGATTGCAAGACCACTAACTGCTTTGCTTTGTAAGGATGTGAAGTTTGAGTTTACTGCAGATTGTCTCTCTGCCTTTGAACAGATCAAGCAAGCATTGGTAAGTGCTCCAATTGTGCAACCTCCAGACTGGGAATTACCTTTTGAGGTGATGTGTGATGCCAGTGATTTTGCAGTTGGAGCTGTATTGGGTCAGAAGAAGGACAAGAAACTTCATGATATCTATTATGCTAGTAGTACACTTGATGATGCACAAAGGAATTATGCAACTACTGAGAAGGAGTTGTTGGCTGTTGTGTTTGCTTTTGAGAAGTTTCGACCCTATTTGGTTGGTTCTAAGGTGATTGTGCATACTGATCATTCTGCTCTTAAGCACTTGATGCAAAAGAAGGATGCCAAACCAAGACTGTTAAGGTGGATTCTTCTTCTTCAAGAGTTTCACATTGAAGTTAGAGATAAGAAAGGAGTTGAGAATGGAGTTGCTGATCATCTTTCACGAATTACGATTGAAGATGAAGTCCCCATTGATGATCTTCTGCCGGAAGAGCACATAATTTTTGTGGAGACTGGTTTTCAGCAAGATTTTCGTCACAGACATGATGCATCGGGCGACACAGATATGGTATCGGTCAACCCAAAAGACTTGCGTCGGGCGACACAAGCAACATGCGTCGGTCGACGCAAGTTCCAGCCAAAGACAGTTTGTTCTACGATTTCTGCAATCTTCTCAGAAGCTGAAACTTATGCTTTGGACATTCCTGCTCTCCCATGGTATGCTGATTTCGCCAATTATCTTGCTGCAGAGACTGAACCTGATGATTTCAAGGGTTATGCCAAGAAGAAGTTCATGAGAGAATTGAGATACTATTGGGATGAACCTTATTTGTACAAGCATTGTTCAGATGGGATCTACAGGAGATGTATTGCAGAATCTGAGGTTCCAGAGGTATTATTCCATTGTCATAGCTCTGATTATGCTGGACATTTTGCTGCTTTCAAGACAATATCCAAGGTTCTTCAAGCAGGCTAATGGTGGCCTACTATGTTTAAGGATGCTCAGCTCTTTGTCTCTCAATGTGATGCATGTCAGAGAAGAGGGAAGATAAGCAAGCGACATGAGATGCCACAGAACTTCATCTTGGAGGTTGAAGTCTTTGATTGCTGGGGCATTGATTTCATGGGTCCTTTTCCCTCATCCCTTGGGAACAAGTACATATTGGTTGCAGTGGACTATGTGTCTAAATGGGTTGAAGCTATTGCTAGCAATACCAACACTTCTGCAGTGGTTCTGAAGCTATTCAACACCATCATTTTTCCTCGCTTTGGAGTGCCTCGAATTGTTATTAGTGATGGTGGTTCACACTTTATAAACAAAGTGTTTGAGAAACTACTGCAGAAGCATGGAGTACAGCATCGCGTTGCCACTCCCTATCATCCACAGACTACTGGGCAACTTGAGGTCTCCAATAGACAAATCAAAGAGATCTTAGAGAAGATTGGAAAGACAAGGAAGGATTGGTCTACAAAGCTGGATGATGCACTTTGGGCTTACAGAACAGCTTTCAAGACACCACTTGGAACTACACCGTTTCATCTGCTTTATGGGAAAGCATGTCATCTTCCAGTGGAGCTTGAGCACAAGGGAGCATGGGCTGTTAAGATGATGAACTTTGACATCAAGTCTGCTGCAGAGAGGCGTTTGGTTCAGCTCAATGAATTGGATGAGATAAGATATCATGCTTATGAGAATTCCAAGCTGTACAAGGAGAGGACCAAGGCATATCATGACAAGAAGATCCTCTCTAGACACCTTGAGCCCAATGATCAGGTACTTCTGTATAACTCTCGTTTACACTTTTTTCCTGGTAAATTGCGTTCTCGTTGGTCAGGTCCTTTCATAATCAAGTAGGTTAGACCATATGGTGCTGTTGTCCTAGTGAACTCTGAAGGCAAAGAGTTTGCTGTCAATGGACAAAAGGTGAAACATTATTGGGCGAAAGCTGCGATTCCAGAAGGGCATATCATGCCTCTGGATGATACACCTACTGCTTGATCACCCTACAAATCAAGCTAATGACTAAAAACAAGCGTTTGGTGGGAGGCAACCCACTGGTGAGTCTGTACATACTTTCAATTTTCGTTTTTACATCTTACTTTTGGCTTTGTTTTCGTTTTTTTGCAAAAAAAAAAAAAAAAAAAAATAGGTCGTGTTGATCTGCTTGAAATTCACCTCTTGTTCTTCACTTTTGAGCTTGAATCTTGCCTATTTAGGTTGTTATAGAGGAATTTCGACATACCCATGTGCTTTTATTGACATAATTTCGAAGTTTTGAAAATTTTGGAATTTGGATGAACTTAAACTCGAATTTTGTGATTATTCTAGATTCTTGAGCTAATTGTGAGCGACTTCTCTGTTGTTTGTGATGCTTCCAAGCAAGATATTGAAGTTCTTTAATCCATTTTTGATTTTAGAATTTTTGATTTTGAGGCTAATTTTTTCACCTTGCTTGTTGCGTTTGACTGACTTTGGATGCAGATGGCAACCACTCGGAAACGCGGACGTTCTCAAACCAGCTCACCTACTTCACTGCCACCTTGGCCTCGTGAGGATGGAACACCAATACCATCTGGGCGAGTTTGGGATAGATCTCCACAAGAAGAAATAGCGAGTGATGACTGCATTTACAGAGACATTTCAGAGAGCTGGGATGAGTACGATACGTTGTTCTACAACGCTTGGCTGAAGGTTGACATACGTCCCACTCGATTTGCTCAGGAGAAATGCATGCGTGTGATGGGAATTCGCAATGATGTTATTGCCACGCTAAAGAAGATTGGTTTGGGCACTATCTGCACTGAGCAACATGACCTCTATCCAGAGTTGGTTCGGCAATTTATCTCCACTGTCTGAGTTTCCTACACCAACGAGCTGGTACCTCGCTCACATGAAGGCACTCTCACCTTCCTGATTCGCGGAAAACGTTACCACCTGCCGCTGCACGACCTTTGCGACATCTACGGCTTCGAAAAAGACTGGCAGGGAGTCTCACTTCCAGCAGAGCATTTGGGATGTTATTGCCCATGGACGGTACGATTCTAGGGGTTCTGCACAGACCGATGTTCGACATCCAGTCTTACGCTATGTTATCCGCCTGATTGCCAACACCATCTTGTGCAAATCAGAGCCTGGAAAAATTAGACTCGGTGAGTTTATGCTATTGAGCTATGGTCTTGACGATTTACATGAGGAGGGAAAACCTAAGTGGAAGAGGTTAAGGCGCATCAACTTCGGTGCCTTATTCGCGCATCACTTGGCTTCTTTGAAAGCCAAACCATTTTCTACTCCTGGACCCAAGTTTGAGACTGTTGGGAGCCTCCTCACCCCTATTTTTCAGCATCTGAACATCAGTTTGGCTGACACCGAGGTCATTGGCACGAGATCTTCCATGGATGAAGCACATTTGAAGAGTGCTAAGTGGCTCAAAACAGGTCGACTTTGGTGTTTCCGCGTTGAGATAGTGGACTACATGGTCAGACTTCCAGAACAATCACTCACTACCATCACTGAGAGCAGGTCGAGCATCAGCTTCCTTCCTGAGCCACGTTACCTCCTTACACCACCGTTAGCACGCAGTCACACAGGTTCGACTCCTCGCACTCGCGTTTCTCGCTCTGCTGCCGATATTCCTAGCACTTCTAGCACTGTTCCTCCTGCACTTAGCCTTCCAGCTGCTCCACCGATCCCCATGGAGACAGAGGTTTTTCAGAGATATATGGTTGAGAGCATCCAGAGCATTTGGAGTAGGATTTCTCATTGTGGGTGTATGCGTGATGATGTCGATCCTTCTGCTTCTCACTCTGCTGCACCACCACCTGGCGATGACGACACTACAGAGGACTAGTTTCTTTGTACCTGGTTTATCTTTTCTTTCTTTAGCTTTTTCTCTTTGGATTTATTTTTCTTTCTCTTGAGTCTGTTTTTCAGTTTGTTATTGAGTCAGTCTGTCAGCTTTTTCTTTGGAGTTTGATTTGAAACTTGTGTTAAAAACATATGAGTTATGTTATTTGTGGTTGTTTCTGATTTGTGTTTGAGTGATTTTGCAGATATTCCTTTCAGAAATCGTGTAGAAATACACTTTTTGGCACTTCACACACATTCTAAGAACAAATTGACGATGCCCAGAATCTGCGTCGACCGACGCAACTTGGTGCATCGGTCGACACAGATTATCCAGACAGGTACCACCTTCTGTTTTTCACACTTTAACTCAGTTTTGATCATTTTTCTGCCAACTTCGGACTGTATAACACTGGGACAGTGTTGTTCAAGTCTGGGGGAGGTAGTTGCTGACATTGTGTACATGTTTGAGTCTTAGTTTTTGTTTTTAGTTTTTCAAAACTTGTTTTATTGAGTCAAAATTGTTTGGTTGTTCAAAGTTGTTTGATGCATTAGAGTGAGTTTGAAGTTAAGATAGCACCACACTTGGAATTCATTGATAGTATCCATGATTGATTCACAACTTGACTGACACATGCTTTGATTTGACACCATTCCTTACTTATTAGAACCATAATCTGACTTGCAATTATCATGTTCATGCATTGAAAGTGTTTTCATGGATACCATATACATACTTGGGCTCTCTTATTCCTTTTTACCACTCTTGTTAGTCCAAGTAGCTGATCTCCATTTTTGAGACAGTTAATCCCACCCTGAACCAACCTTCTTTCAAGCCAATGCTTAGTGAGTGATGTGAGGCCTATTTTCTGAATGAGCTTAGCAAAAAGTGTTGGGTTTAGACGACAAGGATATGTTTTCATGTAGAACTAGCTCACCCTTTTTGAGTTAGACTAGGTATGAGGGATTTGGATTTGTGCTTAATGGAAAAGAGAACTAAGGAGAAGAGAATTGTTTAGAAGTGGTTATTTGGTTTGTGTATATTGTTTTTCTGTCTTTGGCTCAGTTAAAAAAAAAAAAAAAAAAAAAAAAAAAAAAAAAAAAAAGAAAAAAAAAAAAGAAAAAAAAAAGCCAAAGCAGATGTTTTTAGACCAAAACCACTTGGAATCAGAAGTTGAATCTTCCCTTGGGTTCAAAAGAAAAGAAAGTGAATGTATGAGTTGTTTATGAAGAGAAAGTGCTTTAATGGGTAGCTTAGGATCATTTATGGGATTGTATTGTGGAAATTTGAAGTTACTTGGGTAGATGAAAATTTATCCTTGTATGCATAAATTGATCTTTACCCTTAGCATTTTGCCAAAGCTCATTCACTTCTTGAGAGATCCCTTGTTTGATGCTTAAACCTGGATGAAAAGAGACCATTATTGTCTCTTAACCTTGTCCCTAGCTAAATGATTTCACTTGATTGCATGAACTTGATCCATGGTTACTCTTTAATTGAATGTTAAAAGGAATGGTTGATTTGAATGCATATATAGGTTGAGTTGGAATCTACTTCATGTTGTGATGAGTGTGGCTAAAGTTTTTAAAGTAGAACAAACTCACAATGCATTGACTCTTTGAACTGCCTTGTTTTCAAACCTCTTTCACAGTTTAGTTATTTGTTTTGCTTGAGGGCAAGCAAAAGCTAAGTCTGGGGGAGTTGATATATCATGGTTTTTATGGGTTTTTGCCATGATATAAGTCTTGTATATAGAGTCTTTTTAGTGTTTTTGGAGTCTTTTTGAGTCTATTCAGGTCTAAGCATGTTTTGGAGCACAATTGGAGATTTTGGAGCTATTTGGAGCATATTTGGGGAAGCTGCTGGAAAACAAGACAAACAGACGACAGAGTCTTGCGTCGACCGACGCAATTCATCTGTGTCGGTCGACGCAAGTTTTCCCAGAAGTGCAGCGATTAATTTTAAAGACTTTTGAAGATTGCACTTTAGCCCAGAAGTTCCACTTATTTACAAGAAGGCCCAATTCGTGTTTTGTTTTTAGGTTTTTAAAGCCATTGTTAGGCTATTTTTATCATATCTTATTTTCTATTGAGACTTAGAGAGATTTGTAGCAGAGCTTTGGAGAGATAGATCAAACTCCTTCAGAGAAGATTTTGAACTCCTTTATCTCTATTCTTATTTCTTTTATGCAATTTATTCATTTATGATGTTTGTCTCAATCACCATGTCTGAGTAGATTCCTTGTTAGGTTTAGGGTTTTTCAAAGGTTGAAGAAGAATTGCAATTGCTTAGGATAATCATTAGAGTTCTTCATCTGGATTGTGTTTATTGCTTATTCTAGCTTCGCGACCTAGAATCTGATCTTAGGTTAATTGGTAGACACGAAAGTGTTATTGATTTCCTGAACTATCTTAGATGAGCAAAATATCTATCTGCAAAGGAATTTGGTTTAGAGATTTTGTGAACTTATCAAACCTGATCATTAATGCTTGTTTGAATTGTTGAATTTGCAAAGAAATTTGGGATTCTAAGTTTAGACATAGATAATCTCTGCAACGAAAGTTGATTGGTTTTACAATTGTGATTTGAGTTCTAGAATGGTTCTTAATTAATATCCTGATATTTACTCTGCAATTCGGATTCAACCTGCGAATTTCCCAAGGCCTAACCTTTGTCTCATTGAATTTAACTTCGTTAATCATCACCTGCTACTTTGTTTTCTTTTATTTGTTTTCATTACTCATATCTTACTTAGCCTGATTTGAATCTGGAAATTCGTTGTGCAACTGATAGACGTTTGGATTCGATAAACCCTTTATACTACATTGATTTGCTGTGCACTTGCAGTTATTTTTAGGGAGAACTTTACACCTATCAGTCTGTAGATAAAAGAACTTGAAATGGGGCTAAAAGAGCAAGACGAGCATATACAACAAATGGCAGCAACTAGAGTGCTCCCTGATGTGAAGACTTGCTACAAAGAAGATAACTTTAGCATGCCAATGCGAAACCGCATAACAAGAAATGATTCCACATCTCTCTACTAACTTAGGCTCAGTTTTGTATCTACAAAAGATCTAAGAACTTACACTTCGAGAGCTCATTTTACCATTATAAATTAGGGTTCTGAACCATTTGACAGCAAAAAAAAAAACTAAGATTTAGGTTAATTAGATTAAAATGGAACGCTAAACAGACGAGAATCAATCACCTGCTTGGCCTTGTAGCCCAAACGACGAGTCTTATCGGGACGAGTAGGCCTGACGAGACGGACAATCGAAGGCTGCTGCCTATACTCCCAGCATCTCACCCTCTGCAGGAACCTCATCACATCGGACTGCTTCTTCCTCCATAGCTCAGATACGTACTTGTAAGCACCTACGGTTCACCAAAATCCATCGATTCGTTAAGGTTAAGCAATAGAAACAGCTCGCAATAAACAGATCCATTATCACATAAATCCTTTGAACAGAAAAAAAGAGATGCTGAAGAAACGACGAGAGTGGATCTAGACGACGGAGATTGAGAAGAGAAGAAGGATTTACCCATTTTCGAAGCTTAGCAGAGCCGCACACCACCACCGGGGGTTTGTCACTGAATTTAAAGTAAAGAGCTAGGGTTTTTTAATCTAATGGAGCTTTATATTAAAAGAAACTGGGCTGAGTAATTGAATCAATTAAAGCCCATTTGTTTTGGGCCTCACACTCGGACTATTGTCCTAGTTACAGTTATATGATTATATCAAACATCCTGATATGGCCTCCATCCTTTCAAAATGTTTTCCCTATATTTTATTTTTTCACATGGTAGACTTAGACCCAGAGCAGTGTGTAGCATGTTAGAAAAAGTGCATTTGCAGTGGATACTTAAACTAAATAAAAATGTAAAGGCCCCCAAATTACAGAAATCTTGTATAATATATTGGTTTAAACAAATAATATTTCTTAGTTTACAATACAAATTGGATTCTTTGGATATAAATTTTTCTTTTTCTTCTTAGATAGGCTTTTTAGGAAAGAAAATCAAAAAAATTTGAGGGTTTTATTATATATTTTCTTAGATTCAGGTAGATTTTATAATGAAAAAAAAATCTCCAAATTCAATATTGGTTCATTGTTCATTTTTATTCTAAAATGATTTTACATTTTTATCTACTATTTTTTTATTTTTTTCAAAATGCCCCTTATTTTAAAAAATTTCCCTGAACCCCTTTTAGCCTTAACATGACACTTCTTAGACCCTAGATCATGAGTAACGATCAGGCCCGGCCCAAATAGAAGCTGGGCCCTGTGCAAATCAAACATAAAATTCAAATTTAGTAATGTAATTTGATAAATCTAAAAATTTGGACCCTAAATGCATAATTTCAGAAAATATAAGACCCTAAAATGTAAAAAAAAAAACAGCTGAGAAAATATGGGCCGGGCCTTGGACCCTGTGCTTTTGCACTGGTTGCACACCCCTAGGGCCGGGCCTGGTAACGATTACATGGAATTGAAAGATTGCCAAAGAATAGAATATATTCACTATTTTAATCAAATGTTTTAAAAAATGATCTCACGTTATTTCTCCAAAATCGTGAAAATAGGTTATTTTACTAAATTCGATAGTACACTTATTTACACATGTCCAACAAGAAGGCTAAAAAAACTATTAAAAAAACAACAATCTCTCACTGATAAAACGAAAATTTAACAATTTATCATGTTTAAAATAATTTCCTTAGAATAGCACATGCTACTTATTGTGTACCGATATTTAACAACACTAAAACGTAAACCAATTAACAGCTATCACAACATTGCTGGTTTTTTCTAGTTGAACATGCGAAATTGCGTACGCTGTGTTTTTTTTTTTTCTTAAATCTTTGATATTCAAATGAACACAAAAATGTAGCTCAGATGTAATAATCAGTTGGAGCATCTCATGTAGCTGAGTTGCTTGTCATAAGACTGATGATGCATCTCATGTAGCTGAGTTGTTCTTTAAAGAGGTTGTTCGTTTGCATGGGTAGGACTATTGTTTCTGATAGAGAGAACAAGTTTCTTAGCTATTTCTGGAAAACATTGTGGTCTAAACTTGGTACTAAATTGCTGTTCTCTACTACTTGTAATCCGTAAACTGATGGTCAAACTGAAGTGGTTAATAGAACCTTAGGCATTCTCTTGCGCACATTGATTAAAAAGAACCTTAGAACTTGGGAAGAATGTTTGCCGCATATAGAATTTGCGTACAGTCATGCTGTGCATTCTGCTTCTAAGTTCTCTCCATTCCAAATTCTTTATGGGTTCAATCCCACCTCTCCTTTGGATTTGATGCCTTTGTGATATGATCATGCCCAGCACTAGAGACATGGAACTTGAAGCAGAGCTTGAACCTGATAGAGCTAAACATGTGGAGCTGGAACCTGATGGAATTAAAGACATGACGCTTGAGGTTGAGGAGAAACATGATGTCATGGACAAACTTGTTGCCAACCAAGAGCTTGCAACTGAGAAGAAGCTTGTTTCCAAGGATACTGTAGCTGCGCCAATGGAAATGGTTACTCATTCTGGAGTTAATATTGAGCCAAGATGGAGAAGACATGATCCTAAACCTCCCTGGTTTTTTATCCAAGCTCAAGAAATCAGCAAATGGCATGTGATTGCACTCTTTTTCCCTTACCTTTGGTTTTGTCCCAATGGGTTTTTAATGAGGCTTATGTTTCACATTCAAATAACTCATTTTGCTGATCAAGACCCAAGCCCATCAAGTGGGAAGATTGAAAACGTGGCCATGAAGCTCAAGGGTCTATTTTAGTGTTCAAACTTTCATTTATTGTTTTGTGTGTTCCCGAGATAGTCATTGGAGCATGTTCCTTGACTCATCTCTTCATCTTCTCTTCTTCCTTCCCTTTATATTCTGCTGGACGAAACCCTTGTCAGTTTATCAATCATTTTAATCAAAAAGTACTCTCTGTTGTTTGTTCAAACCTCTCTTAGTGTGTCATATCTAAGAAAACCCTTTTAGATTGTTGTGTGTTATATCAGCAGTATAGAAGGTGGTGTTAGAGATCCTTCTCCATCGGATCTCTGGTATAGCCATTCGATCCATCTTCACATCTCATCTTCCATCAATTGATTCATCATTCCATCATTCATCCAAGTCCATCGAATCCATCAAACCATCTATCACTAAAATTGCTTTAAAGTGTCAATTCTTAACAAAGATTCTATCAAGTGGTATCAGAGCCACTTTGAAGCTAAGTGATTCTATCCCTATTGTGCTCGATTTTCATTTATGCATCTTTGACATTTGTGACTGTTCATCTTCTGTCATATAGATCTGGCCAGTTTCACTTGTTTGCATAATTTTAAAATTAGTGTCATAATTTATCCTGATCATTTCTGTTTAGATCTATCCATCCACAAGTGTTCCCATATTTTTAGAAATTATTTGCATAATTTTCTTAAATTTCTTCTTGCAACTTTCCTTGAACTATTGACTACCGTGTACTTGTCTTTAATTTTTAGGTACTATGGTGTCCGAGAAAGAAGAAGACGAGGAGACAAGCCGAGAATCACCATCAAACCTCAACGAAGCCATGCTTGAGCAGATTAAAAAGATGATGATTGAGGAGTTTGATCGGAGAGAGCAGAATAAAGAAGGAAAGCGGAAGGAGCAACCTAAGGATCTGGTAACATCAAAGAAGAAACCGGTTGAGGATCTTAGTGGTTACATGATGATGATTCCGCCATTCCATGGGAACAATGATCTGAATGCATATTTGGATTGGGAGAAGAAGTGCGAGATTACCTTCAACCAACATGACATAGCTGACATCAACCGAGTAAAATTAGCAGCTATGGAGTTCAAGTATTATGCTCTAAGTTTGTGGAAACAGGTTGAGACAGCACGAGCTTACAGTGGAGCTTATGAGATCTCTACTTGGGGAGAAATGAAAAGGGTTATGAGGCAGCGGTTCGTTCTCAGTCATTATCAGCGTGAACTTCATTCCCAGCTAAGGAAGCACGGGAACTCGTTCGGTTGAGGAGTACTATAGTAGCAATGGGAAAGCGAAACCCAAGCAGCCTGACAAGATCACAAAGCCTTATCCAAGATGTTTCTCTAAAGAAACCAGTCCCGAACCTCAAGAGAGCATTAAAAGCAAAGGTAAGCATTATGTTTCTCAACAAGTACAAGAATTAACTTTTTGCAGGTCCAAGAACAGAGACCATGTTGCTAAGGAGCTCCCAAGTAAGGTGATTCCTTCCTCTATTAGTCCAAAGCCTCTGGCAGCAGAAAGAGTCAAAGAAGTGCCAAAGGATCACGCAGAGAAAAGTTTAGGTGCCAAAGATGTTTCGGTCCAAACCCCCTGTTACGAACTGCAAGGAAACAAGAAAGAAGAAATTGTTTCAGTCTCTAACAATGGAAAGGTACAAGCTAAAACTTCTCAAACTGTTTATGATGATTCCATGACTGGTATAATGCACTTGTCTTTCTCCACGAGGCGAGTTTTGGAACCCTACAGCGAGAGGGACTTCAATCCAAATAAGAGAACAACGAAACCATTCAAAAATATATCCAGGATGACAGCTTTCAAAGAGTAAGAGACAGGGAGGGGGAGGGTTTCGAAACCAAACGAGACTAGAAGGAACATGGGAATTAACACCATTCCTATGAGTGTTTTTGTCTTGAAGAGCCAACAAAGGGAAAGTGTTGAGAAAGGTACAGCTGAGCAAGAGAGACGCCTAGAAGCTCACAAAGCATTAACTTGTCATACCATGGAGGAGTATGAGCAACATGTTCTTGAGCCAATTGCCGCAGCTGATTCACTAATGAGTGTTTTGCATAGTACACAGGTAAGTGAAGTTCAATACTTGATTTACTATTGGGATAATTTCATGATACATCAGAAACTTCAGAATTTTGTTTTTGAAATTCTCATTTCAAGTATAATGCACTTGTTCTTTTCCTTGAGTGTCAACAAAGGATCAGGTTTTATGTAGAAGCATAAGGAATTGGAAGAAGCAGCATCAAAGAACAACAAATTCTCATCTCACGTTCATCTCATTCCCTGTTCACCTATGGTTCTTTGTTTGAAATCTCTAATCACCAAAGGCGAGGCAACACTGAACAAAATCAAGAAGAATGGCTAACATGTTCCAATCAAATTCCAGAGAAACCACCAGACTCCTATCTGCGATATCCAAAGAAGCAAACCCAGGTAAGTATCTAGATTCCCAAAGGCGTATGAGACGTAACTTGCTTTCTTTTGGTGCAGGTCAACTAGTTTTGAGGACAAAACTTATTCAAGAGGGAGGGGATGATATGATCATGCCCAGCACTAGAGACATGGAACTTGAAGCGGAGCTTGAACCTGATGGAGCTAAACATGTGGACCTGGAACCTGATGGAATTAAAGACATGAAGCTTGAGGTTGAGGAGAAACTTGATGTCATGGACAAACTTGTTGCCAACCAAGAGCTTGCAGCTGAGAAGCTTGTTTCCAAGGATATTGTAGCTGCGCCAATGGAACTGGTTACTCATTCTGGAGTTAATATTGAGCCAAGATGGAGAATACATGATCCTAAACCTCCCTGGTTTTTGATCCAAGCTCAAGAAATCAGCAAATGGGCATGTGATTCATTTGCACTCTTTTTCCCTTACCTTTGGTTTTGTCCCAATGGGTTTTCCAAAGGAAGGTTTTTAATGAGGCTTATGTTTCACATTCAAATAACTCATTTTGCTGATCAAGACCCAAGCCCATTGATGCGGAGTCAGGTTTTACCAAACTCCTAGACCTCTGCAAGTGCACAGATCGCGGAAGTATGGGTATCGAACACAAGGACTGGCTATTGAGTACACTTTGTAACTATGGATTTTGGATCAAGCTAAAACAAAAGTATGATTGAGGTTGTAATGGTGAACCAAACTAGCAAGTATAACGAGGTTGTAAGCAATAAAAGAAAATCGCTAGGTCATAGGGGCTATCGCAGAGAAGCAAGCAATGATCAATGAAACAATGATTGATTAATTGATTAGGGATATTGGGATATTAAGAACCATCTAGAACACAGATCACGAATATAAAATGATATACCCATATCTTTCATGTTTTTATCAAGGTTTTCACTATGTTTTTAATACAAATAATGTGGTTTTTAAGCCCAAGAGGTAGTTTTCTTGTATATTCTGGTTTTGAGCATCATTCAGGTCAAAATAGCAAAGAAGAGTCAAAATGGAGCAAAAAGAGTCAAATCACCAAGTTCCCAAGTCTAGAGCACCAAATCTACATTTCTCGCTAAAGACCAAACCGGAGCATCCGAAGTACGACCGCATATTCATGCCTTCCCGACGTCCAAAAGTCATGATTCTTATATGGAAAGATAGATATTTGAGTCATGACCCGCGGCGAAGTGGAAAGAGGTCATTTGGATCACTCGTTGGACCGGAACTTATTTTCTACCAAGACATGTCCGACGAGCGCCTAAGTAGAGCCCATGGAGACTTTGATGGATCAAGAGGCCCGAGATACCGCGCCCAAGGCCTTGGCTCATCTTGACACTAGCATAACTCAATCCAGAAGCTTCCATTGGCCTGAACGCGGCCCATTCAAGAACTTGGAGAGCAAGCTCAAGCGGCTAAAGAGAAATGGAAACTTTCCTCTTCTGCGCGCGCTCAACTTTGCCGACCTAGACCCGCTCTCTACCTATATATACTTGCTTTTAGCCTCTTGTAATAAGAATCACCAGCCGCATAACAAGAAACACTTATTCAATAAAGTTCGGAGCCACTTAGGTGGTCTCCTTCTTCTTTCTTTTCTTCTTTTGCATTTGTATATAGCTTGCATGTTTCAATTTATATAGTCTAGAAGTAGAGATTTCTCCCTAAGGGTGAGGCGGTTTAGTCTATATTCCGCCGCCTCTCTCTCTAAGGATTCATGAGACTTCATCTACTATCTAAGACTCATTGTTGAATTATGGATCCTTCCAATGAGGACGTGATATAATGGCCATCGAATCGATTGTTAAAAGGGGAAACCCTATGGTTCTCCATCTTTATTTATGCTTAATGCTTGTTGCTAGAGTAGCTAACTAGTGACTTGATTTTAGGTTGATATACTCTCCAAAAGCTTGTTATATCTCCGGACATAATATTTGATGGGCAAATCGTTTTAGGCTACGAAAGTAGACCTAAAGAGTTTTGTGAACAATCATTACTTGGATGTAATGCATGTCTCACTCTACAATGACCAACGAAAGCTGAGCCCATTGGTTTAAGAGACATAGGGGATTGGAACCACGAAAGTGGAATAATCCTTCCTTAGTGTTTTGAGTTCAAAAGAATCGGATTTTAACAAACTTTTCAATCGACTTGGCTCATGTTTTCAAAAGAGTTTTCAATAGTTCAATAATGTTGCTTGTATAGAATTGCATTGTTATTTCTTTTGCGTGTTCTAAACAAACACAAACCCTTGCATCTTTTGATTTAGCTTAGTCATTTAAACTCTATGATTATGTAATGTGTGAAATCCAATCCCTTGTGGTTCGACCCCTAAATACTACAATTATATGTTGTGCACTTGCAACACTAGTTGTCTTAGGGAATTATTACTTGTACTCATCCCATAGATGCCGCATCAAGTTTTTGGCGCCGTTGCCGGGGATTGCATCATAAACACTTGCATAGTCTTGTTTAAAACTAAGTCTAGATCTTGGTATTTTCGAATACTAACTTTTTCTTTTAAATCTTGTGTTTATAGGTACTTGGAGATGAATCACAACACCAACATCCACTTTGGGAACCGGACACTGATCCCACACGATCTCCACGGCCGGAGTTACCAAGACCCAGCCGTAAGCATCGTGCCACATCCGTTCCCTCCCAACCGCGCTCATCCGACGTTTGAAGGACCTAGCCGAGACGAGCATCATTACCATCATCATCAAAACCGACCTCCGGTTTATCATCAACCACCTAGACCAGTGTTGCATTCACACCACGACCATGTTCTCAATAGGCGGAGAGATAGCCATTTCGATGCCGTGCTTGAGGGTTTCATGGAGAGCCAAAGAAAACTAGCCGCGACATTGAGACAAAGCTAGAGTTCACGCGATACGAACTAGATGGAAGACTTGGAGAACTCTCTACCCAAATAGAGAGAGTAGAGTCAAGATGCTTGGACATGGAGGAAGATTTGAAGAAGCAAGGCGAGGCCATTGAAGACAATAGGAGAGCGATACACTTTACCAAAGTTTCTACCAAGGAGATGGACAATCACTTAGATGAGAAGATCACAAGTCTTGATAACAACCTCGATGGCACCACCAAGAGTCTCAATTCAATAACAGCAGTAGCTCATCAAGCTAAGAGGGAGGTAGCCGAAGTGAACCCTAAAGGAGAGGCAATGTTACTCGACGATGCTTACATTGGTGGAAGGGCAAAAACAAGTGAAGGCACAAATCCGAGATTTACACATCTCTCTAGACAAGAGGAGCCAAGATATTCAAAGAAGAGCTAGAGGGCTTGAAGACAAAGTAGATGGAGTCTCCAAGGAAGTCAAGGATTTAACCACTCGCTTAGCCAACTTGGAAGAGAAGGTCTTGACCGAGCAAAGACGACCGTTCCTAAGCACAACCATGCCGCGCCCGTCTTTACTATAAGAGAGACCGACCCAAGAGTGATTTGGGATGAAGAAGAAAGTAGAGCTGATCAAGAAAGAGCCACAAGGCTAACCACTGGAACAAGAGAAAGATAGCACCAAAAGGAAGAACCCTTACTCAAAGGTCTTCACAACCGCCTCCCACCAAGGAGAAGAGGAAGACAAGATCATCACTTGAAGAGATCATAGATGATTTCAACTTTATGGCGAGGAGATTCCCTTATGGTGTGCCGTTTGATAATGCTTGCAACAAGAGTCCATTCATGCAAGACCTAGCTTGGACACAAGATTGGAGTCTAGCTGAAATTGGAAAAGATGTACGAGGAAGCAAGAAAGGGGATGCCTAAACCTAGGTTTCTACACAAGCTTCATGACCCAGGTTACTTCCTTATACATTTCTCTATCAATGGAAGCTACTTTGATGATGCTCTTTGCGATTCCGGTTCTAGTGTGAACCTTATGCCGGCCGAGATAGCCAAGAAGTTGGGATTGATCAATTCAATTGTGAAATCTCGAATGGATTTAAAGCTAGCTGATTCATCATTGACCGAACCACTTGGAGAGGTTAAAGACATTCAGCTTGATTTTGGAGGCTGCATAGTTCCAGCCAACTTCTATGTAGTAACCATGAAGGATCCGGAGGACTTAAAGCTTTTGCTTGGAAGATCATTCCTAGCCACAGCTGGAGCGATCATGGATTGGCCTAATAGAAGAATCTCTCTAGCCAATGTTGACAAGGACACCTTCTACGATGCTGCACCTCCCGGTTTCTCATCCAAGCGATTTCGCTACACAAGTGGAGGAGAGTGCTCACAAGTAAGAGGAGAGTCGCATGGCTACTTGATCAAGGAAGTTCTACAGGACAAGATGCACTTGGAATCATCAGGCAACAGGAAGTTCTTGGAGCCACCAATCCTACCTAACTAAGAACACAAAGGAGTCGAGCTACAAAGACTTAAAACAAGCGCTTGTGGGAGGCAACCCACATTTTCTTATCCCTTCCTCTTTTTATTTTTGTTTTTATTTTTATAACTACTTATTTGTTCTATTTATAACTCTTAAATTTTTGAGAGTTTAATAAATTTTACAAAAATAAAATAAAAAGTGTTTTAGGAAAAAGTACCAAAAAGGAGGCTTACATGAAAAATGCATTGGAAAAGCTACATCGCCACCAATCGGCCCAAGGATCAACCATCTTTGGTCTAAGTGTCAAGCATTGAGTCTAGTTTGAGTCCCACCCAAGTCCCACCCATGTTTCAAGAAGCAAAGAATCCAAGAAGGGCCGCGGCACAACAAATCCGGCCATTGGAACACTATTGCACAAGGCAAAGGTAAGTATCTCTCCATTCAAATGTCATTTCTCAAAAACATTATCTCTACTTATTTCACACATGAACACTACTTGGATCTCTGATCAAGATCCAAGTACATGTAGTTCACGATCAAGTCTTTGATTGGGAAGTTCAAACTATTGAACAACTCAATCATTGACAGAGTTTAACAAAGAGTTACTAGTGTTTTTCAGATATAAACATGACAGGAAACCGGTTCAAAATATCAACAAACATGGCGCGCAAGGAAGCCACAACCGGCCAAAGGAGGATTTACATGCCAAACATGAGAGATGAGGGAAATCCAACCACAATTCAATCCAGGAGGGATAGAAAAACAGTTCGGTCGAAGCAGAACTCAATTGGCCCGAGTAAAAAGGAGATATCACATTCACAATCACTCTCTCGGCCAGAATCGACGAACCAAGCGACAATGCTCGACCATCTCCCAAACGGCACGACCGAAGTCCACCAAACTTCACAGGCGACCTCAAAACATCATTTTGGTCGGCAAATCCAAAAGATAGGACGAGAAAAAGTGCCTGCTACGTGAGATAGACGAGGAAGCTCAATACGGCCGACGGCGATGCATAGAATGGCCGACGAACTCAAAACCTCAAGAAGGCGCGAACACCGGTGGAAACTGATCCTCTGGAGTCCAAAAAACACCAAGGAAGAAGAAAGGAAGGAGACGATCGAACAGATACAAGATGGCCAAAGGAATCACATCCCGACGCCATTGGCGCGCACACGAAAGATCTCCGAATCCACACGTTCAAATCGCCTCAAACTTCACAAGGAGCCACAAAACATAAGGTTGGTCGATGAAATTCATTTCAGTACAATGAATTCCTTACAATTCAAGAGATGGCCGATGGA